CGGTGACAACCAAGGATCTATATTCCTTGCATCTAATCCAGTCACCGAGCGAAGGTCTAAACATATTGACATTCGCTATCACTATATCAGGGAAGTCATCGAGCAGAAGAAAGTTGAAGTATTCTACATCGATGGCGAGAATAACCCTGCAGACATGTTCACTAAGAACTTAGGACATGTCAAGTTCCTGCGCTTCAGAGCGCAACTTGGACTTAGGTTCTACAAGTAATCTAAGTCAGCCCAACGCTTGCATGCGCGATTATCCGCGGCATTTAGCGAGGGGGAGTGTTGAACCAGGCGCTGACTTAGCTGCCAGGTTCTACAGCGTACCAGAACGTACCGGAACCCTCTGGAATATTCTGGTATATTCCATTATTGTACAAGGCACGGAGCTCATGTGGGTCAGTGACATCATAGGTGGAGCGCAGTAGGATTATAGATGTTCCGCGTAGCTTAGTCAGCCTATGGGCCACAGTGTATATAAACCCTGCAGCTCTGCTGCCTAATGACAAGGGGTCGTTTATACGAGCTTTACCAGTAGCTACAGCATCCAACCAATACAGGTGAGTTGTGTAGGGCGCACTGTGCGTGCTGCTGCCTCCATAACTCTTCATCAACAACCCATTATTTTCTCACATAGTATTACTCCACCTTAAAAACACACTGTTCACCCCACCATGCACCAGCTGGTATGGAATCCAGCCTGTAAAAAAGTCCCACTACATCCCAGAGTGTGCCCCAGTAGTGTGACATCCTGTCCTGAGCACCCCAGGTACATTCTCCTTTGAGGGGACACTGAAATGTGCCCCGGGCCATTTTCAGATGACTTTCGCACAGATCTCGGACAGGCAAGCCTTGCAATGAGTGCTAAAGCTGCCGAAGTTCGGGTCACGAACCTCTGAACCGAGGTCGACCTTTGACCCGACCCTCCTGACCCGGACCTTTGTTGGCCCGGCCCTCAGGTTCAGTGGTGGGCCAGGTCGAAGGTCGAGCAACGTCTGAGAGGTCCAACCCTGGACTGACCCAGGGTCGACCCGACCCTTCTTCCTAAAAACACAAGCTGGTTATGGTTATATGGCAGTTGGAGTGACGGAGTCTCAACCATACTAGATAGCATAACATAAAAATGTGGATAGATTTATTTCACCATTCTTCATGGCTGGCCCTCCTCGCCCGACATCTACCATGGTATAGTTATTTGTAGCAGCAATGTATAACCATCTGATCTTATGTTCCATATACAGCCTTCGACTCGCTGGCACCATCCCAAGATACCCCCCTTCGTGGTGGAAATAGTTCGCGAGTGGCAGCAAAATCATACAAGCTCGCAGCTGCACACCGAGCTCAAGTATATCGCGAACTTTATGCTTGCTACGGACTTTGACCATGGCAAATATCCTGACTTCTCCTTGTACCTCCTTCCGCTGTGCTTCTGGTGGACAGAAGGTAGCCGGAAGGAGATTGTCAGGGCCGTGGCTGCAATCAAAACAAAGTACCCAGTAAGTGCCACACACACTTGGTATACCCACAGTGGTACTGATGTGACAAGCTTAGCAAATTGTGGCAGTCAGCCTTACCGTAGACACCAGTGCATATGTAGCAGCCTCTTCGGATGAGGCTGACGATGAGATGCCGGCGCTGGAGTCACCGACAGACTAATGCATGCCTAGCAAAGGCACGCGAGTATTCAAGTCAGTAGCAGCTAGTTTAGCAGTACAATAGCACATATCTTGTAATGCAAAGCTGGCGTATACAGCTGCTACGAAATCCGCAACAGGTCGGAGGTTGAAACATCGAAAATTGAGTCTTGAATGATATACAGACTTGAGCACGGCTATACCAATGCCTCCCAGGAACTGGCAACCGTCATTCAGCATGGCCCTGGATCACCCTGATGAATCACCCACTCTCAACCCTGATGGCAGCTTCAAGGACGCCAGTGAGATATCATGGGTTAACTCACCGACAGACGAGCTTCCGCCATTTGACTTTTCAGTTCCTTTTCCGCCTTGTGCAACCTTGACTGGCACTCTGATGAGTCCCGATCCCTCAGGCTTCGTCGGTGGCCACGTACAGGCAGCAGCCCCAGCTGCACCATCTGGTGAGAGACTGGATCCAGCCGCAAAGCGGTCCTTCAACTTTGTCATGGACCCTCATTGCTCTCTGCGCACTGAAAGACCTATCAAACGACAGGCCACACTGGAAATGACTGGTACCTTGGCTGCTGGAAGTATGACAAAGCCGAAAGCATCAACAGCGCCAAAGGGAAAGGTCAAGACGACAGGAAAAGCGCCTGCAGTCAGCCGCATCAAGCCGTAGCCAAATGAAGGGGACCCACATGCCAAAACATCTGAGGTTCCTAGCCTTGGTATTTCCATTACGCGCAGCGACAGTCAGCTTTCGCAAGCAACGTCTACCTCTACACCATCCAGGGCATCTTCTGATGTGCCTCAGGCTGACGCTGCCAGTGAGAGCATCAGTCTTAGGACCAGAAAGTGGAGGAATGCTGACCCCGGCGCCGATGTGTTCACAATATTCGAGGTGTTAGAAGAGGATGATGGATTTGACGAGAAGGGTGAACCTAAGACAAAGACTCGGTATCGCTGCAGGGTCCGCACGTAAGCTCCATCTTACTCGACCTACCTGGTATCTGCTAATAGCCTTTCTGTATCTAGAAACTCCAAGGAGACAAAGCAGGTATTCGACGGGAACCTGACAACGTGTCAGAATCACATCGCACAAAAAGGACTGAGTCATTACAAGCCGTACCACGATACATGCATCGAAAAGGATATCAAGATGCACATGCGGTGCATCCCCACTGAGGAGAAGGCAAGGTTGCAGCGGGTCCAGGCTGGCGACGAGGTACCTGCTGGTTCAAAGTATGCAACCTCATGCTTCTGGTTCTATACAGTGCTGAGTTCCTATGTCCGTAGACAACAATCAATTTAGCTGGGCTTGCACTTTGCCTGCTTGCATATCACCCGTGCGCCAGGCATCCCTGCTATGCTTGGTAAGTCGTCCATTTTGGCGCTCCAAGTCTATGGCAGGCACCTTGGCCATAGCTGTCGGAACCACGGGCTTGGGGGTCTGACGGAAGTGGTGCGGGATGCTGGGCCGAAGGCTGTCGCGCTGCACCTGCAGAGCTTCTGGCATCACAGCCATAGGCTTCAGGACCTCACACTGGGGCAATGTGGTGCCCCTCTGGCTCTTTTGTATGCCCCGCATGCTGGGAGCTCCCCTGACCAGATTTTGTTCTGCGCGCCTTTCGATGCACCTGCTCTGGTCGAGAGTATTCCCTGTACTCGCAGGCAGAGCTGGTGGTGGTGGAGGTGCCGTTTGATGTCAAGGCAGCAGCCGAAAGTGCCGATGCCTGGGCTTATGAGGAGGACCTCGCCAATGAATTGGTAAGCCCACACGAGGATAACTGCGAGCTTACAGAGCTTTCTCCCTATCGCGCTGAGCATTTGGAGCCGCCCTGCCACTGCCCTCTTCCTCCAGCCGATCCTGTGCTGGCGCCGGCCGCTCCAGCCCCCACGGGCCGCTGCATGAAGAATCGGAAGCGCAAGAGGGATAACTACCGGAACAAGAGGAGGGAGCAGCGGCAAGCAGAACAGAGGGAGTCCGGAACGTCCCAGAAGAGGGTGGCCCGGGAGAGGAGGCGTGCTGTGGGGGAGCAGGTGTGGGTGGAGGTGAGCCTGGATGGGCTACATGGCAGCACGTCAGGATATCAGGCCCAATGCCACCTGGTGAAGGAATCTGAGAGGCGCCCGCTGACCCTTGAGAGCCCAGAATTATCTGGGTTTCGCCTGATTCCATGGGATGGCTCATGAGTCCAAAGTGCATCTCCTTGTTGCGATTGTGCTAATAAATTTGAAGCACAATCAGGCCTATTGCACTCGGCTCGTCCAATGATTCTTTGGTTGTTGGGGCTCTTGTTGGAACGCCAAAGAACCGGTGATATGCACTGACACACAACAATCACCAAGGACCAAAAGAAATAAACCTAAACCCTGTGATATCAGTGAAGGCGGTCCGAGACAACTGAGGGGTATTTAATAGTTCGAGGGGGAAAGGAGGAGTAAAACGCCGTAGGGTAGTCTGTAGGAAGACCTAGAAAAATAAAACAAACAATTTGACACCTGAAATAAACGCTAGTTGATGCTCCAGAGTATTTATCTCCGAAAAGTCGCAATCAAAGTCGCAAGCAACGACACCTGCTGTAGGATCGTGCACGCGGTGGTAGAATTTGCTGGAGAGACTTGGTTAATTTTATTTCACTATGTAGGACTCACCGGAGCTAATTAAATCGATGGCGGAGATAATTCACTCGATGAGTCAGGCCTATTGGCAAAGCTAGGGTCGGTTATAATTCGCTAAGTTCGACGCTTTCGAACTTCTCGGGTCGCTGAGATCGTAACGCTAATTCTCTGAGATGGTGAAGTCGAAACTTGTTTTTCTGTACGCTACTTTGTACAATTTATACTACAGGAATGGCTTTGCGACCGTACGGAGATAAATAACAAATAAACGCCGCTACCCACAGGATTGCTCAGCACTTGCCGCCGTTATACCATACACCATATGACTCTCTTGCACTCCCACTTGCTCGTCCCAGTCCCTAGAGGTCGCCTCAACGCTCCTCCACCTGCCCTAAGCGGTCCCATCACTCCGTGCGACGCGCCGGTCATGTGGTAATTACCTCCGGCCGCTTGCTGAGTGATGCTGGCCTCATGGTGACTCGTCTGCATCTGCACCTTCGGTAGTTTGATGGAAACGAGAGGGGGAGTGTGCTGGAGGGTGGGCATGAGGATGACGCCCCTCGATGGAAGTGTCCGCGGGCCCCGGAGCAAATTCACCTAGAAGTCGCATAAATTAAGTCACCCCGGAGCTTGCGTTTGCGGAGATAAATCGTGGAATGGGTCCGTGTATGTCTTGGGGATGCGAGGAAGTCCGGAGCTAAATAGAGCAATTCTTTAGAGCCCATAGAAGCCTAGAGGCATGTGAGCGCTGTGTCGAATAAGCTCCGGAGGGCTTGTACGATGTGCTGAGTCCGCATTTTCGGGAGTCAGACGATCCTGAGGCTTATCACTGGGAGGAGTGGAAGTGCATTACTGAGGGGGCCACTGATGCAATGGCCGTCACCCAGGGCTCTTTTCACTTCCACGCCTCTCGCAGTAATCATCGGCGCAGGGATTTTCCTTCAGGAAGCTTTGACATATCATATGGGGGCGGCCACAAGATGCAGCTGCTCTGCTTTCTGCATCTTCTTCATCCTGACGTGCCTATAGGAGCCCGGAAATATTGCAGTACAATCCGTCGTCAATTTGGCGGCCCTTCATTCCCTTTTCTCGGATCCATACATTCAGCAAATCCTGAATTTTACTGGCCGTGAGCAGATCTGATCCTCTATGTCCATGCACCTGACCTGTATTCTACTATGAGGGCTCCCTGGACTTGCTGGCTCCGGGCCTTTTCCAGTACTACCAGGCTGTGCTAGACGGGATATGCAGCTTTTATCCAAGGCTTGCTCACTTCTGGGAATGCTCTCCCTTTGCATGCTGCTGCTTCAACCTCAGGCCGCGGGTATGGGCATTTATACACACGGACCACTTCAACATTCCTTTTGGCTGGTGTTCCATAACAGCCCTGGGTCGCTTTTGCCCCCAGCGCAGTGGCCACTTGATCCTCTGGGACTGGGGGCTGATCATCGATTTTCCCCATGGATCAACCATCTACATTCCCTCCGCATTAGTTCAACACTCCAACATTCCAGTTCAAGCACATGAAACCCGCTTCTCCATTGTACAATGGATGCCCGGCCCACTGTGTCTCTGGTTTGATTATGGGTTTAGGTCCTCCAAAAGCTTTCTGGCAGAGCATGGCAAAGCTAAGGTGGCAGATGCTAATGCGGCGCACTGGGCTGAAGGCCTGAAACTGCTCTCCAAGCTCAGGGACTTCCACCAACATGGGCAATGACATCTCAGAGGCTAGGCTAATAGGATAGGCTATATTGGCATCTAATGGAATACAGTAGGATGTAATAAGAGCTGAATCTATAATGTGGCATATGACTTGTGCCGCTTCTGCTTGAGTTCTGGGGAGGGTGACAGTAATCCCAGTCCTCGGTGGCACTTGCTGTAATGGGTGGCACTTGGCTCTGGCGGTGCAGGGAGGCTGGAGCCAGCCTCTATTTGCCCTGACAGGGATAAATGCAGTCGTGACACCACTTCACGTATCTCAGTTATCTGGGATGACTCTGATAGTTTTGACTCTTGCATGATCAGGGCCAGCCCACGCAGCTGCGGAAGGACGCTCTGTATGATTTGCTCTGCACGCTGCTGGACTTGTATTGCAACCAATGAGGGACCTGCACCGAGAAGGCCCATCTGGTCATCTCCATCAGCTTCGTCGTACATACAAGCAACCAGCTGCCACTTACTGCTCTCCCAGCTGCTCCACTCCCCATGGCAGCATCGACTTGTGCGCCTCCAAGATCCTCATCAACTCATTCTGGCATGCAGATTTCTGGCTCTTCGTCTGAACACAACGGCTGAGGCGTAGCTTTGGTCCCCTGGAGCTCTGACCGCCGCCATATCTTGTAGCATGAGCATGCTGCTGATGATCGCAGCAGCCTGTGGGCGTGGCTCAATGGGAGGAATCACTGGGATGGTGTTGATTTGGCGTGCCTCGGGAAGTGAGGATGGATAGTTGAAGTGTGGTACGTTCCCAGCTGCCACCCACCCGTCAATTATCATTTGCATAGCTCTCAGATGTTTACAAGCCCCCCCTCGGTGCAGGAAGTCAGGGCAGCTACATCTTGCTCCGCCATTTTGGCAGATAGTAAGCCGGTAGCGGACGTGAGTAGGGTCATCAAAATTGGCAGCGGTTGATGAGCACAATGCCTCAAACTGATGCCCGCTACTTCCGCGGGTGATGGAGGTGAGTAGTCCTGCATGGAGGATAACTCTGGCAGCCTGATCATGCAAAGTATCGGCCTCCCACCAGCAACATGCCTTTGCAGCTTTTGCCTGCCTCTGATCATCGAGAGAGCTACAGAGATGCTCGCCCCCTGTGAACTGCTGGAATCTCATGTCAATCCATCTCTGCAGCCACTCCCTTTCACGCCGGCTGGCGAAGAATTCGGGAATGAACTCTGTGATTAGAATGTGGATGAGGAAGTCAAAACGAAGACGTGCTCCAGAGTGCTGCCATTGCGGTAGGCATTTGTTTTTCAAAACATGATTGAATGACTCCAGGTGATTTGTCGTAGTGAGAATGTCGTCCACTGGAACTGAAAGAATGGCAGAAGCCCTGATCCTGGCCTGCCGTGACCAGCCTAGCCACAGTGGTTCAGGCATCCACATTGTCTTTAGGTAGTCCAGGTACTTTAGACCCGCCTGTGCTGCCGGTGCAGCTCCTGCACCCCCAAGCTTCTCTAGGGCTCTGCAATTGCTACGCTCCTCCTCAATAAGGGCACATGCGGCGCCATGCTCCACACTGTTCAGCAACCTAAGCTGCTAGTCAATGCAAGAAGTGGTAGAAGATATGGCTATGCACGAGTCTTCAATACAAAGCATCCGAGTACGTATATGTGACTTCCATGGGTCTTGGTCTCTTCCCCTCACAAGCTGCTCACGTTTATTGGTCCAGCATTGACGAACGTGAAACTTGCACAGAAGCAGCCATATCTCTGGCCACACAAGAAGCAATGCCCTGTGCCCCTTGATATCGGTATTGGTGATGGCTACATATGGACAGAAGGCAACCCCCTTTCTCCCCGACAAAGAGTCCCTCCAGTGCTGTAATAGCTCTGCGAGGATGCTGGTGCTATATCCAGCATGCGTGGCACGACTGCCGGTTGGGGCAGAGAAGAGGAAGAGTGCAAGCGGAATGCCCTTTCGCCTGGCGTCCACACCCATTACCACGAAGAGGAGTAATCGGGATGTGCATATGCCAAAAGTGCCATCCAGGAGTATGGTGGATTGGTGTACGTACTGCCAAGCACTTTTCTCCATGTCCTCGGTGCAGATACAGACCTTCAGTTGCTCACCAGCATCTGCATGCTTGGAGTAGTAGAACACTGACTCCTGGATATCATTTCGAAAGTTTGGCGAGGTTGGGTCCATCCATTCATCCAGGTTGCGCTCCAGTGGTATATGTGTATTGACACCCTGTTGCTTATTAAAGAGATGGTAGAGCCGGACTGCATCTTTGGGTAGAAAGTGGTAGCAGTGGTTTGCAGTCAGGGGATTGTACTGTGGCATATCCCTGTAGCTCTGAGTCTCTAGCATCTGTATGTTTTTGGACTGGACAGCTGCAAGGCTGTGATTCCCAGTGAATATTTATGCCACCTTGAAATGACCGAGACATACCTCACACCAGATTTCAGCTGTTCCACTGCGACTTCATATACGTGTGGGTGTAGTGGTATTGCTGGGACATGCTCCAAGACGGCAGATGCTCCAAGACGGCAGACAGGCACTCCTCATTATGATGTAAGTATCCCATGATCCGAGATACTGCACCGTCACTGTCCCGCTCAGTGATGTCAACGTGGGCCAAGCATCCAGTGAAATTATAGGGATTACGGCGTGGATGGCTGCTGTCTGTGGGACTGCACTTTGTTATGATTTTCCCATGCTTATCTCATTCCATTTCCATTCCGAGCATTGCTATTGGACAGTACCTTTCTCTGAGTAGAACTTCCCATGGACGCTACCTTCTTCCCACACGATATCTCCCTTGACTCACCTTCTACCAATGGGTGCCCTTGTATTTCTCATTTCTCTGAGTTACGTTCTCACAGGATAGCTTACGCGTCCTTTCTCATTGTTATCTTCTTTGGGTATCAACCCCTATACCAGTTACTATATATACTGTAGGGAAACCCATGTATTCCTTAGTTCAACCTCCTGTTGAATACTGCGATTACCTGGACTCTTGACTTGACCGTTGGCATTGGCCCGGCCAGACCTACCTTTCAGTACGCTTACTGAGGTAGTGACGACATAACTGTTGGCATGTGGCCCAGTTATCTCAAGACGACTAGTTAGGACATCGCTTCCTAACACACTTGGTGGGATGTGGCTTTGACCCCTTGGCAGCTTCAGTCACACATCGAGCAGATGTGCTGTAGCCACACGAACTTCATGTAATTCAATAAATATGATATGTGATATTGCAAGATCCTGGTATACCATTGTGACAAACTTCTACGGTGTACATCCCCAGTAATCTCCCAGGAAACCCCCCACTGGCTACTCCACCGACTCTCCAACTGCGCTCGAGAGGCATGGTCCAGCCCAAGAGCTTGTAGAAACTGTGCTACAGCCTGTTGTTCCACAGTATCGTCTGGATTGTATTGCTGGGTGAAAAACTGATCTTGCTCATATAGCATACGTAGACTCATCCGCTGAGACTCGTCAAGAGAGAGCTTGTTCAGCTCCGGCTAAGACTCAGGTTCAGTCTTCAAGCCCAACCAGGCGATGCCACTGGAATACACCTTGGCATGCAGTTTCCGCAGGGTGCTCATGAAAGGCGATGCAGGCAACAATGCAGAGAAGGACAAAGGGGGCAGAGCGGAGGAGGGGGAGTAAGCAGGTAGTAGGGGGTAGGGGGTAGGGGTGGTGTTTAACTGGGACACGTCATGCCCCATTGGCACCAGCATGCGCGAACTAGCCGCAGATCAGCTGCAAGGCATTCCAGCCAAAGAGGAACAAGCAAAAGGACGTACAAAAGCAAATGGATTGGCAGCAGATCAGACACAAGGCATTTCAGCCATAGAGGAAAGAGGAAGAGGGCGTACAATGTGAGGTGGCCAGGCAGGCAGGCAGGGAAGCAGATGGATGGGCAGATCCACTCGAGGCTAGCCAAATGATATGGACCACTGGTAGAGGAATTGCGCATACTCTGAGTTGATAATCATGAGGATGTCCAAAACATTGGGGAGAGCTAGAAGGAGATCATTGCTCACCGACGATCAGTACATCTCCGAAATGAAAACCCTGGACCCAGGAGGACGATCCACCAGCGGGTACTTTGCAACGAAAGGGGTAGGCTGGCTGCAGAATGGAGAAGGCAGGATGGCCTTGACAACGGGCACACTGAAAGAGGGAGGCGCCCAAAGCAGCAGAGATTGGCATGGTTTGATGACCGAATGTGTCAGTTCGAGCAGGAAGACCATCAAGCGAAGCATGGCGATGCTTCTGCCGTTGATGGACAGCGTGTGATCTTTGGGCAGTCATCAGCAAATGTCCCGTGGCTGGTAGTGGCTGGCGCATATTCCAGTTATTTTAGCACGTCTACAATCGCATTACCAGCCGAATACCAGACTTGTATTTATGATAAGCGAAGCACCTGCTGAGATACACTTACCCGAGGATTATCTTATCATTCTATATATATACCCTTAGCAACGAAGCAATCACCGGCGCCTGACTGATGCGCGTCGCCTCACGTGCTAAGTTCAACATGTCGGACTTTGAACTTGACTTAAAAGCGCGCCGCAGTTCGACTTCATCGCCAATCCCCTCTCTCCCTTGTATCACAACTACGTCCTCTCTACAGCTCTCACATGGCTAAGTCCTAACAGCGGCGCCTACGTCGCCTCCTGTACCTCTCCGGGGGTAAGTTCTTTTTGTGAACCCACTGCCTCTTGTCGAACTCCCCCTGAGTACCTTCCTACAGCGCGTGTATGGCGCGACCTAGATGAGGCCCTCATTGTGTCTCGACGCGTCTCTGTTGCAGGTAAGCCATTTCTCTGCATTACTGTGTGCACATATTAATAGAGGTTCTTAGATTGCCGGAGGAGTCTGGGTCTTGCTCGCTAGGTGTGTCCCTCACATTTAGTGACTGAGCATTCTGATTTGTTTTGCAGGTTTGATTATGGTACTGCTGCCGGGTTCTATGCATACAGGATGACTAGTGCATTAGGTATGTCCCTAACATCCCACCTGTTGGTATACCCTGATGTAGTTTGTTGTAGTGATATGGTTTGTTTTCTATTGATTAGGGTGGGGGTTGATTCCCGGATAGTATTGCATTGAGCATGTAGCCATAGCAAACCCCGTATTGTAGCTAGCCTGAGCAATCATATGTTGTACTGTGTTCATCAGCCAATGTGTTGAGTCTGTATTTCATTCTGGGATGTAGAATACCAAGCAAAACACAGCTGATAGTGTGATTATGGGTCAAAGCAAGCTGGCCTGAGCTTGCAATATGTGTAAGTCTGGTGCATATTGTACTTCTTGCGGGAGTCTTACAACATGTGCCATCCGAATATAATGGCTGGCCCAGCTGTCCACAAGTCTGGTACATATTGTAATACTGGTATTTATTTTAATTGATTATATGGAATTATATTCAGACACCAGTTATGGGAAAATTTGCTGATGGTCAGGCTAGCCGAATAGACGCCACTGGGACCGCTGGGAAACTGAGGACCAAGCTAGCCCTACCCTACCCTACCCTACCCGCGCAACCGAACAGGCCCTAAATGTCCGGTGGTGGGACACTGGACCTGGTCCTTGCCCGCTGTGCAGAGTTTGGCAGAACCCGGCATGCAATCGAAATCGACCCAACTGATCACGTGCTTAGTGGTAAAGCAGCACCGCCACTTCACACCTAACAGTACTACGGAACGTAGCGCAAGCTGTAAGAACTTGAATCCAACATTGCGTTCCGCTTTTCCTGAGCTGGCTTTACCCATCGTTGCAGGACATAACACGATTACTCTGGCTATGCAACACTCCTGATAGACCGACCGAACGACAATGCTGCGCACCCTGCTGACACCGCTGGTCGCGCGCTTCGACCTCTCGCCGCGCCTCGAGCCGACGACGCCCAAGACGCCCGCGCCCTTCGGCCAGGAGGACAACCTCGCGCCGGAGGACTTTGCAAGGGACGTGCTCGTTGAGCTCATGAGGAATGGCGTGGAGAGGCTCAAAGTAGCCGAGGACACGCAGTCGCGGATCGAGGTTTGTGCGCGTTCCCTCTCTCCTTCTTTCCCTTGTCCCCCTCCTCCCCTTTGCCGGTGTTGAGTGAACGAATGCGCAGACGCTCTCGGAGATTCACCGCGTAATGGGCGAGAACCGCTGCACGAAGGACGTGTTCCGCGAGATGGACGGCTTCCTCGTCGTCATGAGCGTGCTCTCGACCGTCCTCGCCGTTCAGGACGGTCCGGTCAAGGAGCCGGAAGAGCAGGTCGTGCAGAACGTCAAGGAGGCCAGCCGGTATATATTTACGATATTGTCGGAGGCGATGTACGAGCATAACGAGAATGCGACGTATTTCGAGGTGCGCTTGTTTCGGCGTGGTTATTCCTTGAGTTATGAATGTGACCCTCTGACGCGGCTCTGGTTTACAGCGCTCGGTGGGATACGACTCGTTCCGGCAGGCGGTAGAGCCGCTCATTCTGGACAAAAGGACGACGGACTGGACGCTCGGCTTGCTGCTGTCTCTCGCGCTGCACAACTTCCTCCTCACCACGCTCTTTAGCACCCTACGCAAGACAGACTACGCAGAGCTCACCACCAAAATCACCGACTACCAGTCCGAGTTCCGGCTGGTCCGCTACCCGCCTGCGCTCCGGATGCTCTGGGACTTCCTGCCGGACGACGCGACGCTGCGCCTTTGCATGTACAAGATCCTCGAGCGGCTGTCGGCGACGAGCCACCGGAACAAGGCAATACTGAGCAGCATGGGCGTCTTGGAGTCCCTGGTCTACGTCTCCGCTGGGCGAGATGCGGTGCCCGACGAGGAGCGCGCGGTGAAACAGAAGCTCCTGAAGCGCCTGCTCGACATGGGCGCGACGCCGGACGTCGGCCGGATGGTGTTCCAAAAGGCTATCAGGGACGACGGGAGTTTGGATTTTGATACCCTCGAGGTGCTCCGCGCGGGCATGAAGAGCAAGTGGCCGGACCATTTTTCGATGGAGTCGAGGGCCGCGCTGTGCTTTGAGGAGCCGAAGGTCAGGGGGCTCCCCGTGACGGGGTTTACTTTCATGGTCAGTGGTGTGTCTCTTGTGTCTTGGAGGATGAGTTTCTCTTGATTGCTGACGCGTAAGTCGTGCAGGGGTGGTTGTGGTTCGAGAGGTTCGCGCAGACGGAGGCGCAGCCGGTGTTGACTTTCCGGATTGGTGAGAATGTGCTGGTGAGGTTAAGTGTGCGCGCGGACGGGAAGCTGCAACTGCGGAGTACGGGAAACGGGGAGATGTTCGTGAGCGCGAAGCCGCGCGTGCACAAGTCTAGGTGGATACATATCACGCTGGTGCACTACCCGCATCGTGTGTCCAACCCCACTATCCGTATGGACCGATTTCTCCGTTACCCGCGAAATGTTCTCCATTTTTGTTTTCTTAGGTATATATATCGACGGCGTGCTCACGGAGACCCTCAACTGGCAGTACCCAAAGTCGCTTTACACTGCTGGCGTCGGCACGTATCTACTAGGCGACGACGTGGAGTCAACACGAGCGCGCTGGTGCATCACCTCCACATTCCTCCTCTCGTCCCCCCTAGGTAAGACCATCTCCTCCTTCCTTCCTTGCTCCTCCTCACCTGAATGCAACTTGAAGGCGACGATCTCCCGCGCCTCGTGCACCACCTCGGCCCGCGGTACGACGCGTACTTCCAGTCCCGCGAGATCGTTAAGTTCCTGACGTACGAGGCGGCGACATCGCTGAACATATATATATCCGGCCTGTCGAAAGATACCGCTACGCCCGAGTCGTCTGCGCTGCTAAAAGCCATCAAGGGTAGCGCCGCGATCGGTGAGCAGGCGATGGTGTTTGCGCTGCATAGGTCGAATGTGTGTCTGGAGGATGCAGAGGATGTGCTGGATGAGGAGGGTTCGCTTGAGATGGCTCGTGCTGGGAACTTGCGCAGAGGGTTCCGTGGGCGGGGCGATGTGCGGGCTATTGAGGCGCACACGCTCGATGTGGCCATGTGGCGGATAGGCGGGCCGTCGCTCGCCCTCAAATTGATTCAGCTGGCTAGTGTACGTGTTGTCCCTTGTCATCTCGGAAGCCCTCGCTCAGATTGGGTCGACAGAATCCGCACGAGGTTTCTCGGGCTCTTGGTGTGCTCACGGAGGGACTGCGGAATAGTTGGCAAAATTCGGAAGACATGGAGAGGCTTCGTAAGCATCTTATCTTGGATAGACTAATGCCGGTGCTGAATAAATTCAGGCGGGTATGATGTGCTGGGAGATATCTTGCGCGCGAAGAGCGAGCTCATCAATGTGACCGGTTTCGAAATCCTGTTCGAGTTCCTGGGCATGAACTTCCGCAACCTTGAGTGAGTCCCTCGTTCTGGTGTCCAACAGGACAGCCTCTTATAGGACGTTAGCCACTCGACAATAGTCAACACGCTGGCATACCGTGCCATCGCTCTTGACTTTGAGCTGTGGTCGCGGACCAAACCGGAGATACAGCGATCATACATGGAGCATTTCGTGACACTGCTGAGCACCAGCAAACACAAGCGTTTCAACGCGAAGCAGCGTTTTGCAAAGCTCAACGTCGTCCGCAAACTGCTGTTTGTGCTTCAGACGAACTGGTACCGCGACGATATGACCCCCTCGATCATCGGCGCACTCAAGGTCGCGGCCGAAGCGAACTTCACCCTCGACGACGCCATCAAGCCGATCATATCGTTCCTCGCCGCCAATCTGCATGAAGGTGCTTTATGTTATCGTTCCGCGTCACGTCCTATTAATATATCTGCAAGGTGCAGTCACACTCGCTTCTCCCAAGTCTGTGAGCTCTGTGATCGATAGCAGCCACGTACGCGAGAGGGCGGAGCGGGTGTTGGAGATACTGGTCGACATCCTATCTGACCGGGCTGCGTATAACAAGTTCACGGGCGCGCTCCCCGCGACGAGGATCTACCTCTTGCTCCTGGGCGATAGACCGTCCCCGGCGGTGGCGAAGCAGATCTTACTGCTCATCGGAATCAGCATTAACATCTCGACCTCGTTCATCCGGAAGTTTGAGTTGGTCAGCGGCTGGAATATGGTGAAGACTGTTCTTCCGTATGGGTGGGACTACACGGTGCACCCGGCTGCGTTCGGCGTCCTCCTTGGTACGATTGGTAACAGCGCTCCTCCATCTACTCCCGTCGTTGCGTGCCCGCAGATTATGCCTGCTATATTGGCTTCGATGCAGCGCGGTTTGACTAGGGTTTCTGCTGCTTCTGGGGGTCCTCGGCGACCCTCCAACGGGACTGGTGAGCTGCCTTCATTTGCGTGTTTTGCATCACTCCTCACAGACATAGACTCGGGCACGCCCTGGGAACCAATCGTGGAAGCTCTCGTGGAAGAGCTGATCAATCTTCAGGCGACCAGTCCGTCGTTCCGGCAGATATTCAAATCCCAACAGACGACACAACAGTTCATCGAGGCCTTCAGTTCGTTTGTGAAGGCGCTTTCGTCTTCGACTGAGATACCGCACGGGACTGTTCGACTGCTTGAGAAGCTGTCTCATTTCGGGCTAAGCTTGGCTCTCGATAATTCCGTGGGTAGCTCACAAAAACGGGAGGCAGGTGAAAGTATTGTTCAAAGAGTGGCAATTCTAATCAGTGCCATAGCTCCTAGATTTGTTACAATCGTCTCAGAACCTGTTCGACTCGGGTGCTGCCCAGCCCGCCGGCATAGACCCCAATGTCATAGTGGGCAAGCGCAGACCTTTTGGAACGCGTATGCTTTCCGCTAGACTGAGTCTCCAAGTTGGAGAACGGGTGCTTCTCAGGTCTTTGACACGTATTTCCGACTGGCGTAAAACCGTCATCGATTCCGAGAGGAAACGATTGCGCAAGACTGTTCTGGACTTGTATGTAGTTCCCTATCGGAGCCTCCTGCTTGCTCATCTCCCTGTAGGCGAGAGCATCACAGAGCGGTTTCTCGGTTACATCAGTGGATGTTTCTACTCGACTGTGAGCGGAGCCTGTGGGCGAAGGCTGATTCACCTAGATTCTGGAGGCTCGACGAAACGGAAGGGCCCTACCGTGTCAGGTGACTACCCTCGGGATTAATGGGATCTTCCTCTTATTATCCTTCCCATCCAGGAAGAAGTTGGAACCTGAGGAAGAGAACACGTCAATACCACGGCTAGGCGGCTCTGCGGAGAGTCGCTTGCTTGACACTCCTGATACGGAGACACAGGTGCAGCACGTTGAAGTCCCTCCTTGGGCCGAGACGTACGAAATTTCTGCCACTGATGTGGATGGTCAGTAGTCATATTTACCGGCGGGCGCTCCAATTGACTCTCGTCTCTTCTACTGTAGGCGACCTCGCTGAAGAGATTGTAGAAGACAAACATCGACGCGTTCGTCATGAACTCGAACCTGGGGATGTCATAGAGGGAGTATGCACGGTTGCTCGAATAGCTGGTGTCGATTCTTCTCGTGAGTGCTGCGCATTCTTTTTACCTAAGGTATGACGAATGACAAGATGTATTCCTGCCGGTCTACTCTTGATCAGCGGGCCTCCTTATATTGGGAAGGACACATCTGTATATGCTGGATGGTCTCGTAGAGAAAGACGATGGCGAAGTCATCGACGCCAAGGATGCGCCGAAGAAACTTTTCCTGATTCCTGGGAGTATCCTAGAGCTTAATGGACCTCAACGAGCTCAACGTTGGTCAGTCTTCCGTCTTGCAAATGTTCGGTTCTTTCGCGGTTACTGATTTTCCTCAGGCCATATCCTCAAATTAATGGGTTCAGCGACCGCACTTTTCTGTTCAGAGGTGTTGGGCATGTGCTACCAATCACTCACCGTTGGATATCACATATTAATGCGCTTCGATTTAGACTTGAATTTTACTTCCGAGACAATCGGTCGCTGCTCGTCGTCTTCCCGAGTAAGCAACAAAGAATGGACATGACACAACGGCTGTCTTCCTCGATAACGAGCCGAGCCGGTGATGCTTTGACTCCTGGTCTGCTGAAAACGCCTCTTCTCGGGAAGATGAGTGCAAGGGTGCTGGGAGGTCTCCGTGCGGACGAGTTGGCCTCGGCGCAGTCAAGATGGCAGGCTCGGGAAATCAGTAACGTATGTCTGAATCATAAGTCCCTTTCACGGGCTAGTAATGACTGCTGCGGCTTATTTCTTTTTCTGGTAAAATAGTTCACGTATCTCAGCATCATCAACCAGGTGTCTGGGCGCACACCAGCGGATGCGACTCAATATCCCATCTTTCGTAAGTAACACCTGGGACAACCCAGCTCCGTGAACTCACAACCATCTAGCCTGGGTACTGCAAGACTACAGCTCTGAATCATTGGACCTTACCTCCCCATCCGTTTACCGAGAGTGCGTTGCCTGCCGAATATGCTACTCAGATGAAGAATCTGATTATTTCTTTAGTCTCAGTAAACCCATGGGAGCTCTGACAGGGGCACGGAGAGAGGCTGCCATTCAGCGGTATACTAATCTCGAAAGTGTCGGAGAGCAGCCCTTCCACTATGGCACACACTTCAGCTCCTCCATGATCGTCTGCCATTTTCTCATCCGTTTGTCGCCCTTCACGCATATGTTCAAGACCTTGCAAGTACGTCGGCTTGAAGGCTTTCTCACTATTGACTAATCGATGAATCGATGGCATGACAGGGAGGTGATTGGGATCTGCCAGATCGCCTCTTCATGTAAGCACTGCTACGTCTGTAAGAGTCATATGGTCTGATACTTCGTTCTGTATGCCTTAGCGACTTAGGAAGAGCCTACGATTCGGCTGCCAAGGACCTCCGAGGCGATGTTCGCGAACTCATTCCCGAGTTCTATACCTGTCCAGAGTAGGTCTGCAGTTCTTGTCGACTCCGTAATGTTCGCTCACCAATCTGGTGCGCTGCAGATTCCTTGAGAACTCCGCCAACATCGATTTTGGCGTTCAGCAACAGACTGGCGAGCGAATACATGATGTGAAACTGCCACCATGGGCAAAGCAGGACCCATTGTTGTTCATCGAGATGAACCGCCGTGTACGTAGCAGCCTCCTTGCTTGCACTTGTGATATGTTAATGCCGCCCTAGGCGCTGGAAAGTGACTACGTCAGTGAGAACCTCCCGGCCTGGATAGACCTAATATGGGGCTGTAAACAACGAGACCCGGAGTCACTGAACGTCTTCCATCCATTGAGCTATGAAGGATCCATCGGTGCTTGTGCTCTCCTTAATCTTCTGTCCGTCTGCTCACCCCCCTTCAGACCTGGACTCAATCACGGACGATCTGGAAAGAGAGGCGACCGTCGGCATCATACACAACTGTACGTACCACCTGACCAACAGTATGTATGTCGTCGACGTTGACTGATTCATGCGATGCAGTCGGTCAGACGCCCCGAAAACTGTTCACTCAGCCGCACCCGAGACGGTACATGCACGGCTTGTCGACCCTCCCGCTCGGGACGCTGCACGGTGTAGCAGAGGACTACAACATGCTACATCAGAGTCATCGGCCGATACGAGGTATGTGCCCCCACCTTGCAGTTCACCCCGTTAAGATCGCGCTGCCTGCTGGTAGACCTTGGGTCGAGCACGCCAGTACAGGAGCTGGTGATAGACCTTATTGGGGAAAAGATCGTGCCGTGTGCGCCCGGAACACTATGCGTCCCCTCCCGCTCGTACGAGCAGGTCGAGTGGGGACCCACGCGGCTCGGCTCGAACGAGAGCGGGGAGATTAGAGTCGTGGTAGATCGTAAGGTCGGTCGGCCGTCCCCGCCCAATCAAAATATGCTGACAATAGCGGCTATGGCTTAGGTTGTACAAGTAGCTGAGAGTGTGTACTGCACCTGCGCGGCCTTCGCGGATTCGGACACCCTCGTGACGGGATCGTCAGACCATCTCGTGCGGCTGTGGCAGGTACCGAGGTCTCCTGTAACAGCGCTGGTGCTATTGCATACGATGCGAGCCCATACGGCGCCCGTGACGTGCGTCGCGGCGAGCAAGGCGTGGTCGATCGCCGTGAGCGGGAGTCGGGATGGGAGCGCGGTGGTGTGGGATCTGAATCGTGGATCGTACGTGCGGAGTATGTGGCATGACGGTCCGGTGGAGGTCGTTGCGATTAACGAGAGCATGGTAAAGCGTCTTCCCTGCTTATTGGGATTTCAACATGACTGACGGGGACATGAAGGGGCATATTGCGACGTGCTCCGCGACGATGCTCGCACTGCACACTATCAACGGGCGCCCGATCGCCACGCTCTCGCTCGGTCCTGCACCTGAGTCCTTGCATGCGATGAAGGTGACGTCGCTGGCGTTCCTCGAGAGGGATTATACGCCTAGGCCTGTGCTTGCCGCGGGGAGTGCAGATGGGCGCATCGTCCTGCTCACATGGGGTGCTGAGGGTGCTTCGGACCAGGCGAATGGCAGGGCAAAGTGGGTGTTTAGGGTGTTGAGAGAGCTGAAGGTCAGTACAGACGGGCGGATAGCGAGGGGGAGGGTGAAGGTCACTGCTTTGAAGTTTGTTGGGTGAGTGTTTCGTAACGGATGTGTGAGATGTAAGGGTGCTGATGGATACGCTAGGGAGATACTGTACCATGGGGAGGATACGGGGCGGGTTTACTCATGGGATTTGCCTGATTAAGGGCGGGTGAAAGTGGCCTTTGTGGCTCTGGATTCGAGGGTCACTCCGTGGAAGGATGGAAGGGTTTCTAGCGTATATGGACGAGATCGCAGGGATTTTCTGTCGACATTACTGTTCTTTTGGGGTGGTCCGTGCTGTTTATTCATCTTTGAATTCCGGTACTTGCATGGTTCCTGTGAGTCTTCGGATGTGCCTCGCCACTGCCTGAATCTCCTCAATATCAAACGGGCGGATACACTTTGGTGATCTCACTGCGCCGTGAGGTATTTACATACGTGATATCACTGATATGACAATGTTGGTGTGTATCATATGCAGTCCGCTCACGCTTACGCTATGTACACAGCCTTCGTGAATTGGGAGTGCTTCGGTAACGATTGTCCGAGAAGCACTTCTCGTAGGTACCTCCAGCATCCAGATCTCCTGGCCTCTGTCAATGTATATGTGTCACATTGCAGTTTTAATCATCATAGCGCGCCGGCCGCACACAACTCACGCGTCGACCCTGGTCGGACGTCTTTCCGGCGTGAACCCTCGTGTACCTCGCCACGATGACCGGTCGTCGTGGGTCAAGACACTGCAGCTCGAGGCTCATCTTTCGCCAAGGCGCCGGCGGCAACCTCGGGCCTCTACCCTGAGTGACGAGTCATGGTACCGTGCGCTTGTCTGGCGAAACTGCGAATCCTTCGGGCATATGCAGCAGTGAAGGTAGTTATACGCCGACTGTCCGCTCTCCTACCAGAAAGACAGGCAATACGGTCTGCCCTGGTGAGGGTGGACTGAGAATCCGATTATTCGCAGCCGTTTAGTTATGCTCCACCTCATAAGTAACTGCAAGAAACCGTGAATGCGCATCTGTCTCGAGCCAGGCAAGCCTGAACGTCACGATATACCGTCTGGGATTGATGCCGTCAATGATTCTAGCCTGTAGGTCACTTGTAGGTCACCGCTGTATGTACAGTAGGCAATTTCGATTCGAGCTTAGGGCGAATCTCAGATCCGGATCCGCATCAGACGTTACTGTATACACTGTGATAGGCTTCTCTAAGTACTGCCACTGAGTGCTTCAGACTGCGAGGCCGACATGCAGATGATGTAGACGGATGTAAGTACAAATGCCAATTCACCTGTGTATTAGCTACACGTTGACCATCACACAGACGAAATGTCGCGGGTGCGGTGAACACGCGGTCTCGTGTGCGATGTCTCCGAGCCGTATACATATTCGCATACATAGCTGAAGCTTACCGAAGCTGCATGAGATGTCGGCAACATTACTTGACAACACTAAGCAACAATCAGGGATTTTCGTCGGATCCGCTGACCGGGCGCTTCCTCAGAGTACAAAACCAGGTGTTCATGTCCTTGGAGCACCAGAACTCCACACCCTCGTTCGTTCTTTTACAAGTTCACCTACACCCGCGCCTGGGTCCCCAATATGCTTCCATTCTTTACGACTGTGCTAGTTGCGGCCACCTACGGCTCGTGGGCGGCTGCCAGCCCCGTTCACGCACGAGGGGACTCTTACAGCGACCTGGTGACCAAAATCAAGTCTGCTATGGAGGCGTCTATCCGGACCAGGTAAGTGTCTTCGTGGCCATCTAGGGCGTATCACCCTGAACCCAAGTCAGCTGGGAGCAGGGAACCGCCGCTGGTGCAATCATCGAGGTGGAGAACCCGGAGTACTCTGTCTTCGCGGACACCCCTTTCCAGTTCAACGGACAAGTGCCCATCGCGTCCCTGCAATTCGCATTAAGCGCAGCCGTCCGCCAGACTGCGGACGGGCGTCTCAGCCAGAACATCAATGACGCGTTGGACGGTGCGGCACTCGATGGCGCGTCGGCTGGGTCTGCAGTTCTCATGGGTTAGTACTTTCTTGGGCATCTGTCGAGGACACTTAAATTGAAGCTTTTAATAGGGTCATTCACCCACACTGAGAACGCGAGTTTCTGGCAACAGTCAGCTGATGCCGAGTTGAACTATGTAAGTCGACGCTACAGACTTGGGATTTAGTCCTGACATGTCTGCGTCGGAAGATCCTGACCAAGGTTCCCCGGACCTCCACCGGCGCACTGTCTCACCGGGCCGACACTAAGCAATACTGGTGACTCCCACTCACGCACTTTGTATAGCTTTGTACTCATTGCGTGTGAAGGGCGGATGCGGTGTACATGGGTCCCCCCTTCCTGGCTTACTACGGCGCTGTGGCCAAAAACCAGAGCCTCGTCCAACTTGCCTACGACAACTGCCGCTTGTACCGCGACGCGCTGTTGTTGCCCGGCCCGACGGGGAACCTGTGGGGACACTTGTACGATGACGACAACCAGGCGTGGTCTGACAAGGGCCTCTGGGGTACCGGTGAGTGACACTGGTGCATTCACCACATCCATGGGTGTATGTCTTATATGTACTTCGGTAGGCAACGCGTGGGCTGCCCTTGGGATGATTCGCGTTGCCGCGACTATCGAGAAGTCCAATTTTGCGGACTCTATGAAGAACGAGACCAACAACCTCCTCGATTGGGTGAAAGAGATCTTGGACGGCGAGTTCGCGGCTCTGGTACCTGCCTCCCTGGCATATACGCTCCCCATACTCATCCCAGACGCACTTGGCAGACGTCCGACAACCTTGTTCCGGACTACGTGATCGGCGGCGCAAGCTTTGGCGACGGCTCCGCCTCCGCCGCGCTCTCCTCGGTCGCTTACCGCGGGGCGAAGCTCTGGCCCGCCATGTTCGGCTCCAACTACACGACCGCTGCCGATAAAGTCCGCGAGGCGGTCGTCTCCGGGATCACCGAGCTCGGCCTGCTCTCCCCCGTGGTCGACCCCCTAAACTGGGGCCAGGTCGGTACCCTGTCCACGGAGGGGCAGGCGTTCGGGTTGATGATGCTCGCGGCGTGGAAAGACTTCCTGGGGTATGAGCCTACCCTCTAGGTTGGACGGGCCTGCGTACTTCGTCACCCTCCAAATTGCTTTGCCGGCTGTGGCTCCTGCTGCCACATGCCGCGATAGCCGACACTCGTTTGTCCTACGTTCCTTTGCTTGTCCCTCGTACTGTATATTCGCGGTGTTAACTTATTTATGATTTGTGCTTCAACATGCTGCGTGAACGGACTCGGACGGCTTGTCTACGTCTAGTGCACTTTGCAGAGTGCTTGAACGAGCTGTACGCGCCACGAACAGGTCGGCATACATAAGCTACTTCGAACGCGTGCAATCCAAACCGTCCGGCAAAGTGCGACTCACATAAGACATCCTCCGCCGAATGAATCGAATGCGTTACTATCTCTGTACATGGGTAAAGTGAGTGTTAGGGCGGAATTTTGCGCAGACTATGTAGACCTCCTGTCCATCACAAATATTTGTCGGCGAGAACTAGTCCTCTCAAAAGCGTCGCTAACCGGTAACAGGGCCTAAACTTTCGCAACATTTATACTGGACAGGTTCTGCTTCCAATCCCGTTTTGAGCAGCATCTAGCTCCGGGTGCATAGGTTCGGCGGCCCGGGATCCAAGAGATCCAAAAAATACCCGAGTATATCGGACTATGTATGTCAGAATGCTGATTCGCCCAGCCGGTCCCTCCCGGTACCCAATGTCGCCTACATGGGATCGAGATTGCATCAATGCATGTGCAGGTTCTTATGTGGTATGTTCACTGTCTCGTACGAGAACGTTGACACTGCTCCAAGCACGCGTTCAATGTCACTAAGTCTCTTGAAGCCACTTTAAACGCACCGCGGGAGAAAATCAGTGCATTCTGCGCTATTTACTATAGTGTTTGGACAACTCAGTGAGTCTTGCCCCCGCAGTTGAACTACTGAACCCATAAATAGACTGTGGCCTACCATAACGAGGTCAGGATTGTCCTTGCGCTGGTATATATATCGACATTGCTTCTTCCAGTCATAAAACTCCGCCGAGACCGCGCCGCGGCGTGCGAGGGTATCGTAACATGTAGTGTCATGGGATCTATATCACTCGGGAGAACACACTCCAGAATCCCCTTCTGCCAATCCTCTCAGTGCTGAGCTCGTAAAAGGAGGGTCTGCGCCGGCGGCGCCGATGTGGCGCAGGGTCCGTGCCCTTGCTCCGCAACCATGTTCGTGGTCCTCACAAGTGTCCTGTTGTCTCTGTCCTGCTGGACATATGTAAGTGCTAATCCTATTCGCCCTCGGTGGGCCTCGTATAGCGACCTTGTCTACAATATACGGTCTGCCATGCAAGCATCTATCCGGACGAGGTACGGGGTATACAAGCTGTACTCGCCCACAACTCATTCGAGTCTAAACTACCCGGTACGGTAGCTGGGAGCAAGGAACAGCTGCGGGTGCTATCATCGAGGTGGATAACCCGGAGTACTCAGTCTTCGCCGATAAACCGTTCGAATACAATGGAATGCTGCCCGTAGCAGCTCTGCAATTCGCTTTTAGCGCCGCTGTCCGTCAGACCATCGATGGTCGCCTCAGTCAGAACATCAACGACGCTCTGGATGGCGCGGCGCTCGACGGCGCATCGGCTGGGTCTGCAGTCCTCATGGGTACATCCTCTCGTTGATAGAAGCCCATATGAAGCGTGTTGCGATTGTGCTTGACAGGATCATTTACACATACCCATAACGTCACCTACTGGGAGCACGCAGCGCAAGCGGAACTTGACTTCGTAAGTTTAGTGTCAATGTCTTGAATTCCATTCTCCTAATAGAGGTTGATTGATAGATCTTGTATGACGTACCTCGCACTTCCACTGGTGCGATCTCACATCGAGTGGACACTAAACAATACTGGTAAAGCATCTTCCTACCTGATCCCACCGCCCTGTACTCACGTCTCGAAGGGCTGATGGGGTGTATATGGGTCCTCCTTTCCTCGCCTATTATGGCGCTGTGACGAAGAATCAGAGCTTACTGCAATTAGCATATGACAACTGTCGGCTGTACCGAGATGCTTTATTGCAGCCGGGGCCGACAGGGAAACTATGGGCTCATATTTATGACGACGGCAATAAGACATGGGTTGACCTAGGACTCTGGGGTACAGGTTAGTGACGGTCAATACCACTTTGTACAGTTTTGAGAAATGTTTATCTGTTCCCTGCTGCCAAAGGAAACGCTTGGGCAGCCTTGGGCATGATACGCGTCGCAGCCACTATCGAGAGATCCTGCTTTGAAGGATTCATGAAGAATCAAACAAACAATTTGGTAGCATGGGTGAAAGAAATCTTGGACGGCGAGTTTGCAGCCCTGGTGAGTTCCCTCCTCTCATAGGAATCAAGACCACCTGAGCGAAAGTGTGTTAGACGCCTCAAGAACTGGTCCCGGACTATGTGATCGGCGGACCAACGTTTGGCGACTGCTCCTCTTCCTCGGCACTTGCCTCGGTGGCTTACCGAGGAGCGAAGCTATGGCCTGGCGTATTCGGTTCCAATTATACTTCTGCTGCCGATACAATCCGGAAGGCAGTGATATCTGGTATCACCGAACTAGGCACCCTGTCTCCAGTAGTAGATCCTCTGAACTGGAACCAGACTGGCATTCTCTCAACGGAAGGACAAGCCTTCGGCTTGATGATGCTCGCGGCATGGAAGGACTATCTAGGATACGAACCAACAGTCTAAGGACCGCACCTTTGCTTGCGTTCTCTCGTTATAATCATTAATTGATACCTACACGACGGAAGGAGTGCACATATTGTCCCCAGCAACAGTATAAAAGACATACAAGCAACTTATCGAAAGCTGGATCATGCCACACCTCCCGTCCTGCGGACATCTTTATGCCGGGAAAATGTGGACAGTTAGCTATCTTCCACACTTAGTATATGTAGGCGAAGACACAATACTCACGAAAGCCGGCTCGACGATATAACCATTAGGGATGACCACGTTCCCCGACTCAGTGATATACCACCTTCTTGGCGTAGCACTGTAGATCGCTACTTCAGCAGATGGCAGGCTGATTTGCTTAGTCCTGGATTGCAGCATCTCTAATACTGCCTGGCTTTTCGGAGTGACGACCCAAGACTTCGGGGGTTTGGCGTCATTCCACCCAACCAGCAGTGACAGCTCTCTCAGATCGGGAAGAAGAACTTTCTCAACCTTTCGAGGCGACGCATCGTATGTTAACATCCGAAAGACATTGTTGGGCCAGCACTCGCGGCCGCGAGGATTGACAGACCACATTCGAAAACCTTTCAATGAGGGCATGTCTCGAGCAAGGGGTGCGAACTCTTGATATTTGTGGAAAAATGTGGACTTGAACTGGACCTGCAACGTTCGTAATGGGCAGCTCGATCTAAGCAGCATTGCTGTAATGGTAGACGCTTCCAATGCCCCACCGCTAACAATCGAGAGTTGACAGACAGTACAATGAGGTCCTGACGGAGTGGTTCCATACTAGACCTCGTCTTGATGACCAAGGTGTGGAGACTTAACAGTTTGATAATGGGATCACCATCCATGTCAAGGCGAGGAAAATATAGATAGTCGTCGAGGATGCAAGTCGCCAGAGCCGGACAGGCTCGCAGTAACTCCATAGCCTGGGACAGCAGGAATCCTCCACTAAGAGTTAACGCAGTGATTCGAGAGCGGAGAAGCAGGACTCTGAATACATCACGGCGCCTAATTTCCTCGACATACCTTTATTCAAGCCAGCGCATTGTGAAAGAGGGAAGAAGTGAAGCCCTCCGTAAATCAATGTCAACGAGTGGCGTGCCCGGGTAATAGCGGCGGTCGAGACCCAACTCCAATGTCTCCAGTTCCGGGAATAAATCTTTGGTGTAAGCAGCTTGAGTAGGTATTCGCAGATATCCAGATGCAATTGTCGGCACCGAGGCATGAGCTGGACCACAAACTCCATGTATTGTCCGAAATGGTCGTAGCATTGGTGAAGATGTAATGACAAGGGGAGGGCACCAGCTCTTGATACCCATAATCTCATCAAGGAAGTGATGCGCGTCGCGTAACGGCCGTTCCGTACGAGGAAGGCAGCAGAATTCCAGAGGCGGGGCGTCGCCAGCGCTATATCTCGCCATTTGTGACAGACCGCGCATACAAGGAACGGAGACGACTTTACACGCGGTAGAACGTATTCGTCGTCAGGCAGACAGCGGAAGAACACTTCTGACAGAAGTTCGTCGGGAAGCTTGCGAATAGGAGATAGCAGTGCAAGATGGTCTTTCAAAAACCTTGACGCGCAGTCGCGTCGGATTCTGGCCATAGTGAGCTGTTCTTCAAGTCTACTGACTTCCGCCTGGGCAGTCGCGAATACGGCCTTGGCGTGCGAGACGACAGCCGAGATTGCGTCTCGCTCTTCAGCAGAGGGCGTCTTGTTGCTCCCTCTAATTAAGGGAACAGGAGATACAAGTTCAGCGGACTCTATTATGAGCATCAGTGGCGGGAATTCGAAAATGGGTGGTGAGTTCAGATATATGCGTACTTGCTGGCTCTGCATCACGTATCCGCGGCTTGTCATTTTATGCGGCAGGCGAAAACTATTCTAAAGATTCAGCATATCCGCTGGAATATGGGGAAAAGAAGCAATAAATACTGGCCTGTAAATCTAGTCCTCAACAACGGGGTCTTGGGATCCCGGCTCGATAATGATACCACTGCAGTAAAAAGAAAAGAAAAAGAAAAAATAACAAGGGGTAGGCCATGTGGCCGCTCCAAATATGGTTGCATGTGGCTGAAAGCATGCTTCTTCCCTAGCGAGCGGGTTATACATTGTACAACCTCTCGCTGCTCCCGTATGTTGCACTAGATGTATCCTAGGGTGCTGATCCTTCAATTTTTGAGGTGTAGTTCATTTTTTCTTCCCGGTCTTCGACCGGGTATCTAAGTAAATATGTGTCCGGCGGGTTCATGATACTAGCACCCGCGGGTCTCAAGTAGCTACAACTAAACAATACCTATTGGCATTCTGGTGACAGTAGTACTACCGGGGATTTTGTAATCGTTCACGCTCAAGTTGAAACGCTGAAGTCGTCTATGGTCCGCCTGCGCGAGACGCTGAGTGAGCGGTTCCCACGATTAGAACCCCGCACAATATCGAGGGTGGCTGCGACCGGGACTATGGGTGCACAATGCCCCATGAGATGGCGCTTGCTTTGTGGTTAGTATCTCCTATATGTACAACATGCTAGAGTACTCAAACAAAATCTTTGGATTTTATTGTTCAGGAAATCCCGATATACAAGTCACTCATGATATTGAGCTGAGTTTGAACCGTGCTAATGGTTCGGCAACTCCCGCCTCACGCTCGCAATACCATGGCTGATACGCCCGCGCCGACACAAGTTCAGGAAATTTACATTGTATAACTGCTACTATAATATTAATCCTAGAAGCTCCGTAACGACTTAGACGAGATATCCCTGCCCCAGAGTTCCCCAAGCATCTGTCGCGAGCCACGCGAACTTGCCTCTTATAGATTTGAAACTCCGCTCAATATCAATATCATGCCTGGGAGTGAGTAACGCCCCGGGATCCCTGTATGCAGGGGGCTTGGCAGTCGGGGGTTCCCTGGGCGAAAGCTACAATTGCCACAGCATCCAAGAAACCGAGGTTATGTAATGTCACGTGATATTGAACCCCGATGTGGACCCGGACCGTCTTACATAACTCGTTTGAGATTGAGGACATTCTGCGGTGTAAGCTGTATTTACCTATTTCCCCGCGCATCTTTACCTGCTGCACATCTACGCTGAGCGTCCCTTACGGCTACGAGCCTAAGCTGGATTACTAGGTCGACCGGACAGGTTCTGGGATAAGTTATCGCTGATCTATGATGATTCTCCCCGTTGTCTTGTCTTTGCTTGCTCTGGGAGCGACAAATACTGTATCTGGGTCCCTGTATGCTACTAAGCCGACTGCGGATACTATCTATCGTGCTGGGCACAATGTCTCTGTAACCTGGATTGACGACGGTCTCAAGCCTCATATCAGCAACATGGGGAAGTTCATTATTGATTTGTACGCACGTAACGGACCCTACGACGTAAGTTGTACTCGAGGAACAAGATTCTTGCTACTGAGCTAGGCTATCAGGAACACGTAATGACACTGGCCAAGAATGTGTCGCCGCTCAGCAAGTCTCATAGAGTTTACATCCCTCACAGTTTAGGCACGAATCGATCAGACTAGTAAGGCTTCCCCCATTCTAACATTGGATATCTGCCTGAAGCTTGATTTCAGTACCTTGCGGTTTATATGCAAAGACCCGCTTTTAACTGTATACACCGCCGACTTCACTATTTCCGATGGGCGACCGCCCATATCGACCAGATCTCTTGAGCTCGACTCAGCGACACCGACCTTGACTACCCCGCATCTTCCAGTAGCGCCTACCAGCAACATGCAACCTTTCTTCCTAACTCTAGTGATGCCAGACTTGACTCTCGTTTCTCAATTACCACCTCGGCCGACGCCTACCCCTGTGACGACCTTCTACGCTGGCCAAGAACAAGAAGACCAAGGCTCAGACAGCTCATCTCGACTTGGCCCCGCTAAGAGCAGACCTACCAGTGCAAGCTGGAGCCGGTTTGCAGTGCTGGATATCGAGAAGATCAAGTTCAGAATCGTTTTCATTCTTTGGCCTGCGCTTATGGGTATCACTATGGCTATCTAACACACTCACATCCACAATTCTATAGCGATTATTGACAATGTATCCCAGCCTGACTTGCAATGTAATATCATATACTACGAATGTGTGAACGCATCAAGGCCATTAAAGCCAACATTCAACGGACATAACACGTCGACCCTATGTTACTCAGACTGTGACTATGTATACATCCGATACTGGTAACGTGATTGATCCCGAATAGCGAATAAAATCAAGAAATAATAACAATGTTCATCCGGATACCGTTCCCCAGTGTCCAGCAGATGCAAAGTGCTGCCGCAATTCCTGAGAGAAACGGAGCACGGGTAAGAACAGAATAACACAATAGATATAGGCGTACCTCTTGGGTCGTCACGAGCGCGTTACATCGTTGCGCAACACCGTCGACAGCCCACTTACACATATAGACCAGGTCTTCATCTGAGGCACTGACATTTGTCTCATTCTCCTGCAGCTCCTCTTGGACGTCCCCATTGTCCTCCTGGTCGTTCTCTTCCTCCTCGCTCCCCTCGCTCTCGCTACCATCGGTATTATCCGGGACCCAGTCGCCGTCCTCATCTTCGTCCCATTCCTCCTCGGCAGCCTTCTCCTGAGTCTCCGCTGACGCGGCAGTCAGTTCCGCTGCCATGTTCGCCATTTTCTCTTGGAGGAGCTCCGTCTCGCGCTTGTACAACGCGGCGTCCGACGACAGCTGGTCGTTCTCCCTCTCCAAGACCCTGCACTTCGCCAACAGCTTCTCGGTCTCCACGCCCCTCTCCTCCCATTCCGCTGCCTTCTTGGTGACCTCGCTCGACAGCATCCTCTTCTGTGTCTCCTCCAAGAACCGAACTCGCGTGTCGTATTTGTGCAGTTCCGCTTGGAGCTTATCTATCCGCACCTGATATGTCGACCGCACCGCGTTGAGGCCGGCTTCGAGCTGTGACTCCAGCACCTGAACGCGCGCCTGGAGCTCATTATTCTCCGTTTGCATGGAACTCGCGAAGTCCGATGCCTTCCCGTACTGTTCCCTGAACAAGTCCCTCTGACTCTCCAGGTCTCGTTTGGCGTCCGCCCACTTCGCCTCCTTCTCTGCCATAGCCTCCCATTCAGCTTCCCGCTTCCGCCACGCCTCTTCCTTCTGCCTGGTCTCCCTGTCCTTCTCATCAGCTTCTGACCGCCATCTCTCAAGCAGATCTGCATGCTCTTCAGTCAACTGTCTCTTGGCCGCCTCGATCTTTTGGCTCTCTTCTTTCTTCAGCGATTCGGCCTCGCGCTTCGCAGCAACGAGCTCACTCTCTAGCCGAGTGATCTCCCGTGACTTCTTGTTCAGCAGTTCCACAGCGTTCTCTAACTGTTCTCGAAGATCACGATCAGGAGGAACCTATAGACAGATCAAAGGAAATATGTGAACGTTTATTCCAAGATTATATGAAGGTCCATCAGAAAAGCTGTGAAAGAAATGCGCGACGTACTTCTTGACTGTTAAACGCGGAAGACGGGCCATTAGTGCTTAGAGTCGGAGGGACTTCTTCCGGAGCAGGAGATACTCCTGGGCCGTTCCCTTCATCCTTCTTTGCTCCGAGATCATGCGTCTCCAGCATGGAACCGTCGTCCGCTAGATCAGGCGAATCCGCGTTGGCCACAACACCGCTCGAATAATCCACATATGCGTTTTCCATCTCCTCAAGTAGAGCAGTCTGGTCCACTTCCGGCAGTGCTTCAGGCACACGTCTGCTACTGCTCGCGATGATATCGCTCAGCCGTCTCTTCCTGGTGGGATTACCGCTCAACTCCTGTGATATAAACAGAGACTTGCGCAGCTCCACCGTGCGCTGGCTCGATATTGCTTCACTGCTCCGGCCCTTCTCCGGTGAGCTGAATTGGTCGATTGTCTCCTCTGCGTCATCCTGCGACAAGAAGGGCTTGAAATGAGACGGCGTCATCGCTGGGATAGGTCTGAGCGGACGTGTGCCGGGGGTCTTCTTACTCGCTCTGGGGGATGTCGTGGCTGAGACAGGTAAGCCATGCCCATAAACCCGCGACGCTTTCATGCGGGACCTGACAGGGCTTTGTTGAATGACCTTGGCCGAAGTGCTTCCAGCGAGCTTATTCGGCGTAGGTTGTGTTTCCGGAACTAGTACTAGGGACTCGCGCGGCCCCTTGCTGCTTGGAGGCTTCCAATGGGGAGGCTCGGCGGCATCTTCGTTGTCCAGGAAATCTAACGGGTCTTGCTGCTCAAAATCATAGGCGAGGTCGTCTTCGATCGGGGCGAGATCGATGCCGGGTGGTACGAGTCGAGATGGGCCTGCGCGGGGAGGTGATGACTTGCGAGGAGTCTGCGGAAGATCGGCCTGGTTTATTATCTGGCTCTCTTCTTCCTCCTCTTCCCGCAGAGCGATTCGGTCAATGTCTTTGGCCTTGGCCTTACCCTTTTCCATAGTAGTAAATGAAGCAGGCAGCGCTCTTTTCTTCGGAGTGCTCGGATTAGGATGCCCATCGTCTGACTGAGTTTGAGACAGATCATTTGAAGCATGTTCCGCGCGCTGTGTCGAGGGCACCGGCTTCGAAGGCACGATCTTCGTTCTCTCAGCTGACTTCTTCTTAACACCGCGGGGTGGACCTACTTTCTCGACCGCTGGGATGTCGAAGGGTAGAGAGACACTGTTTGAAGGTAGGACTTTCGTCTTCTGGGGGAGTTGCTTCTTTGCCCCTCTCGGGGGACCTACCTTCGTTGATACCGGAATATCTACGGAGACGACAGGCTGCGCTTTCTCCTTCGCTTTACTTTTCCGAGGGGCGGTTTTCGTTGGCTCGTTAGAGTAGTCCGTCATCCAATGCTCCTCGTCTTCATGCTTAGGGACAGCTTTGATATTACTCTTCTTTTTACTCGGCGGTTCTTCTCCTGCAGAGTCTTTGTCGTCATGAACCCTCCGCTTCTTCCGTGGTCGAGGTGCTTCGTAGTCATCCGAATCATCATCCTGCGCCCTGTTCTTAGAGTTCTTTGTAGGGCTTCTACTTGCAGTGCGAGCTCGTTTACCGTCACGCGAGACGGGATGGTCTTCCAGAGGTAGGGACCCGGTATGAGATGACCGTGCAATCCTCTTCGTAGTTGTCGACACAGTTGACCCCCGCTTTGATGCCCTTGAAATTGTGGACGACCGCCCGTTGACTTCCGCCACAAACATCACTAGTTTGCCACCAGGATAGGTAGATACGCACTCACCTTGTTTCCCGTTGGCGTTCCCATTTCGCCTCTTCTTCTTCTTCTCCTCCTCCTCCTCCTCCTCTCTCTTCTTCCTCGCCTTCTTCAACTTCCAGTCCTCAACCAAGTCATCCGTACAATCGTGCTTGTCCACCCAACTCTGTGGCCACGCCTTACCGGTTTTCGGATTGGTACCCGCCCATTTGACACGATACTTTTTCTTCTTCTCGCCCGTGATCTCAATAACTTCCCATAGAGCGTCTGAGTCGCCCTCCTGCGGCTCAAATTGCGTCTCGAAGTCTGATATTTGAGTCGTAGGTCCCTCCTCGCCATCGGACATGATGATTGGCGCTGTACTTCAAGAAGATGCAAAGCGAGCAGACAGCCTCTCAAGGTTGGTTAGACCACTGTGTGTGGCCGAGGCCCGCCACCGTGACTCGGACAGGACGTTCCCGCCGTGAACGACGGATTATTGGTTCGGTAAACAGTAGAGTGGTGGCGTGGGAATAATTGCCTGGATTGTCTAGATCTGTGGCTGCCCGCTTCACCTGCCATCCTACTACGTACATGGTCGATGCGAGCACTCTGGGACCAGAATCCTGTTTCAAGTACGTCGGAAATATGTACGGCCGTATATGAAATCTACTGCCTTTGCTATCGAGCAGCCGAGCTTGAGGCCCCCGTCAGTGTTGTTATGCCGCATACACTGCTTTCCCCCTGGACCCACTGGCAGATCTTGCAGAGTATATATACCAAACTAGTGGAAGTGGAACTCGCGCGGGATATTCCGACTTCCACCAGATTGCCCTCGCTGCCACACACGCGGCGTGCCACATCGGTGAGTCCGCCCGATCAATGCCTCATATGGGATGTCCCGGACCCTAACCACCCGGGGGATTGCCCCCCCGGACCTCCCTTTGAAGATAGCCTGTAACCCTCACCCTAACCGCGTACCCTAACGCGAACCCTAACCAAACCCTGGGTGTAGCCCCCCGGACCCCCCCTAACCCAAACCCTAACCGTCGGGCGGGCGCAATGCTTGGTGGAAGGGCACTGTGGCAAGCACTTAGACTCACCGGCACCGGCGGGGGTGATGGGACGGGCGAAAAATGTGGCATGACCCACTGGCAGGTCGAACTAGTGGAAGTCAGATACCGGGCCACCTAACGCCGAGTTCCACTTCCACTAGTTTGGTAAATGCCTCATCTTGCACGACTATCAGAATTTCCATCCATATGTCCTAGCTCGAGAAGGGCGCAACATCCCAGCCGTGCTACTACTATATAAGCAGACGTAACAATTTGATCGTATTCTATCTGTTCGGTAAGATAATCAAAAGGCCCCGATCGCGAACTCCCGGAGCCCGCCTATGCACGAAACTGTAATCATGGCCCTTCTCTGCCATAATACTCTGTGGACCAGAAGGGCCATGATACGACCTGCATCTTTCCTTTAACCTCTCAGCGGTTCAAAAATGGGAAGGCATGCCGGGACTGTGATTAAAAATACAGCTCACCGGTTGGAGATGCTGTCCGAGCCCCCATTCGGACGACATAACGCGAACGCTAGAGAGCTGACAACTGTACCTGCGACGATGAACGGGCACAAGGATAATAAGGTCTGGCTCATCACAGGTAAACCCTCCTAGTAGTCGCTACGCACGACTCGTGCTATACAGAACTTCACGCGTAGGCACTTCCTCCGGGTTGGGGAAACGTATGGTCATAGCTGCCCTTGCTCGGGGAGACCGAGTCATCGCCACGGCGCGCAAGCTCGCCAACCTCGAAGAACTTCAATCCAGATATTCAGACTCGTCGGAGCGCCTTCGCTTGCTGGAGTTGGACGTGACAAGTCCATTCGAAGTCATCAAGAATACAGTTGACGGGGCCATCAATATTTGGGGCCACATTGACGTCGTCGTGAATAACGCCGGCATTGGCTTGCCTGGACTCGTGGAGGAGATGGGGTATATCTCCTGCTCTTATCTATTTGCAGAGCCAAAGTGTAACCTTTTCTTAGTGATGAAACGCTCAGGAAGCAGTTCGAGCCTAATGTCTTCGGCGTAGCAAAGGTAAACACTGCAGTGCTACCCAATATGCGCGAGCGCGGCTCGGGTACTGTAGTTGTTATCGGTAGCCGATCAGCTTGGAAAACCGAAATCGCGGTGAGCCCAGGCAATGCCCATCACAAACGGTTGTAAGCTAATAGAACGGTGCAGGGAATCGGTGAGTGGATCAACCGCAATTAACTTGCAAGGTGTGACTGAGGCGTCGCAGGTGCGTACGCCGCCTCGAAAGCTGCAGTACACGGTACGCTCCTGTCAGATAATAATACGAATACAACATACTCAAATGTTGGCTAGCTTACACCGAGACCCTCGCACACGAGCTCAAGTCCTTTGGAGTCAAAGTCATGATTGTGGAGCCAGGAGGCTTCCGCACTGAGAACATCTACACTTACCCTTGGACGCATCCGTACCACTCTCCATCCCTAGATGCGTTTCGCGAGAAAGCACAGTCCTTCTGGCGCACCATCGATGGAAAGCAGCCAGGGGACCCGGATAAGGCTGCCAACGCTATCGTAGACGTTGTAAGAGGCGAAGGTCTTGCACTGGGAAAGGAGCTGCCGATGTGGTTGGTACTGGGTAAGGACGCGGAGGTGAACATTAGGGATAAGGTGGCGAGGATCTTAGCAAATCTCGATGGATGGAAAGACGTGACTAGAGCTACTGACTTCGACTGAGCAAAGTTTGGGGATGTAATGTAGGGAATAAGGTTGACGGATGGGCGTACGTGAAATTTGAATGAATGTGTAGATGATCTTACGAAATCCAGCACTGCGCACAAGAGCAAGTCAGTGCATGATCTTGAACCAAAGTTATTCTGAATTCTGCATAGATTTTGTTTCTATATTCGATCGTGATTGCAGATGGCAAATCAGATGTGATTGTATTTGACCATCATATTCTCTCAATCCCAACAGCATGACACAAAAGTCGGACCAATTTGGTCAGGATCGTCGCAGACCGTTTATGGGTTCACTGTAGCGTTCTTCTGCAAGTGAGCGGCAAAGAATTGCGCTTCAAACCAAGAACACGGTGAGTCTATGTAATCCCAGGCCTAGCAAAAGGCTCTTACACAGAGCAAACGCCGATCGTTTTGGCGTCCTGGTAAGCGTGGTGTGGTTCAGGTATTGGATCCCGAATCTAGTTAGGCGTCAACCGAAGGATCCGAAGAACAAAGAGCTTGAGTGTGACGTACCTAGCACTGAAGCCGTAATTCCATTCGGCATTGTCGACAATGGCTGGTTTACAGAAGGTCGGTCATACATTCCTTGAGGTGATCACGTCCACTTACACCAAGCAAAGGTACCCATCAATGGAATACCGTCCGCGTAGATAGACAACAAAGCTTCCCCGAGGTACGTCATGTAATAATCTGCGGCGTTGCGTGGTTGAGGATTGAGCTGGCATACTGGATGAGGTTCTACTACGTACTGGTTCTTGTAACGTCCTCTGTGATCAGGTACAAGTCCGTTCTATTGGCCTCATACGGCTCATCAAAACCAAATTCGGAAATATACTGAAAAGTGTATCAGTCATCGATTTCATGACTCAGATACTGACGTGCGCACAATCTTGGTTGTGGGCCACCTTGCTTGGAGCTGTTGCAAGGAGTATCTGAGGTTCTGAGGCGTGGACTGCAACCACGATGTACTATCCGGATCCGGGTTTGGTCCGACAGACCATCCATTCACGTCATACTGCACCAGTTGGTTGCACTGTGGCCAGTTGGGATCTGTCATGTTATTGATGCAAGCAGCCAGACCTTCCGGAGGTGCAGCGATATATTGATCACGATAGTCGTCAATCGCGTAGAAGTCAGCGGTTCCTGGGGATCTGCATAAGCCTGAAGACTGGCAGGGACCGTGGAAGGTGACTAACCCTTATTTTCGGCGATCTCTTCGGGAGTGAAGCGTGGTAAGAAAGAAGGCGGCAACGTATCCAACATAATTTGGGGCCAGTTACCCGTTCCGTAGATGGGTTCGGAGAATACGCCGATCTGGAAGGCGGTATGGCGCTCTACTGCCTCGATATCGTCAGTACTGTTTGCCCGCCACGGCGTCCCGCTAAATATGCAAGTGAGAAGATTGATTGTCACCCCGCGCTCTCCCACGTACACGAAATCATCATTTTTGTATGCAATTTCACCAGGTATCCCCATCTCTCGGAAGGCCTTGACGACGGCAACATGAGCCTTGACTGGTTGAGAACAGCGGGTTTAGTCACATGAAGCCACCATCAGTGTCGATGCTTACCGACATTGTACGAGCATTGGAAGGGCGCAGTCGTAGAATTCACGCCGGCCGCAAGTGAGATATCTGGAAAGAGGCCACCGGTAAGTTTCACGAGACATAGGTAGGTATGTGTCCGACCTAGGACTTACTGAATGGGTACGTAGCTATCTGCGCACAGAAAACTCGGGGCTCGTTGAAGGTATACCTGTGCACAAGTCCCGTGAGGATAATGGTCTCGACACCTGGCGATGCACTGACCATGTCGTTACCCTTCCTTTATAAGCTTCGAAGACGGTCTTGGCGTAGCTGTGGAAAATAAAATAAATGTCAGCGAGCCCTACCGATGCGAGTTGATATTCCTACTTCACGAAATCGCCAACAATCTGCGGCGACGTGAAACCGCCGTAGTAGGCAACCAACGCGAGAGGGGTGTCCCAGTGGACTAGAAGGTACAACAGGTTGGTAAGTCATCGCAAGCAGTGTAGCAGTAGTATAACGTACAGAGCGTTACAATTGGCTGCACCCCCATCTGCAGATGGTAGTCGATCACTGACACAAGGGACGCATGAGACTAAGTCCTCCGGGAGGTGGTTGTTCACTCAACTATCTGAATAATGTTGTATGCCTGCTTGATTGACCGGTGAATCCGCTGCTCCGAAGGGATAAATTCGAGCCCACGAGATCCTGTGCAGTAACACATTCAGCGTCTGACTGAACAATAATATGCAGAGTATCTGATTATTCACGAGAACGAATGTGCGTTGATGCCCAAGTTAGCCATACGAGCTACGTCCAGCTTGTATAGGTAGTACTGCAGATCCGTGATATCAGCTAGTTGTGAGGGAATATCAGACATCGGTTCAGTGTCCACAGTCAAGGAAGTAATTACCAGTCGAGCCATCAGTGGTACCACCTGGTTGCCTAGTAGCCCAGTCCCAAGCTGAAGGACCTTTGCCATCTTCCTTTACAGCCCCTTCGACCTGATAGGCAGAAGTAGACATGCCAAAAATAAAGCCAGCCGGCAAAGGGAGGTTAGGCATGATATTCGCCGGTTCGGGGGCAAACCACGAAGGGTAAAGAGCCGGAGGGGGAGAAGGAAGGACATCTGGGAGTACGGGGTCCACCGTCGTTGTGATCGGAGGCGTCTCCACTGGGCCAACCTGGGATTTTACGCAGCGTCAGCGTTCCAAACAGTTGGCCGTACGTCGCAAGAGGTCTGACCAAACTCCATAAACTCTCCCATCCCGCGGGGCTGTAATCCCTAGGAACAGAGCCTACAGCAGGGAAGGAAGCCTCGGTGGTGATCGGCGCCGGCGTAGGAGCAGCAGTGACTGCGACCACAGTCGTAGCACCATTGACCAATGTTATAGTTGCGCTGAAGAGCTGTCTCAGTACATGCTTTGGCTGAATGTGCGAAAACAAACCTTTGAGCCGCCGCGATGTTGGCGGCATGCAAAGCAGCCAGAACAGCAGCTAGTCTACCCATGACGAAGGGCTGCCGCAGCTTTTGCTGGACAAGGGGCGCCAAAACGACATTCCCCATATTGTCGCTTCATATATCCGATACCAGGGTCGGACAGACTGATACCGTCATCAGGGTCGCTGTCTGGACCAGCGGCCCGGGTGTCGTACTCGTACGAATGGATTTCCCGTAAGCAGGGACGGCTCTCCGGAGAACCAGCGGTGAGTCCTGTGCAAAAGCTTGTACAAACGTCGCAAGAAATCGAACATCGATGTTCCGCGAAGGCGAGATGTGCTTCTTTGGAGCGCACGTGAGTGTAGCATCCGAAATATACCCGAGAACAGGATTGAGGGACAGCAGCGTAAGGGATCCTGCTCTTCGCGCGAATAAAGCCCTTCAACTTACGGGTTACGGGTTAGCACGGCCAACGCACGGTGGCATTCAGCCTCGGATTTCGGCGAAGAATTCTCCGCTTCAAGTCTACGAAACATCAAACATAACATCGACATGGATTAGACGGCACGACTTCCATACCTGCATTACAAAACGCCCGGAGTTAATCCCTCCGAATGGGATGAAGTGCCAAGGTGTAGTGTCCCACTTTTATGCACGCGAGACTCAGTTGGCCGCGGCCTGCGAGCTTGTAGAGTCGCAATGCCATGCTAGCATGTTAGCGCTCAATAAGACCTGACAAGCCTGAACAGAAGAATGTCACGTACATTCCTTCACTTCCTCGCCAGAGCTTCATGGACCCCCAGAGTGGATTTGGTTTGGGATGCAACATGTCAGCATTCACGGTTTAGACACAGACCCCAACGTTCAAAATGGCGGTGACCACAAAAGAGCATACTTGATGCTGAAAGAAACAATAACATTATATCCACAATATATCCCCGCGACTCCATAACCCAAACGTGCCGGTAGTCGTACATAAAAACCTGTAACCAAAACCCCGAAACCTCTACGGCGACAAACCTTTAGTCATCGACTCATCGCTCAACTTCGATATATCCATGAACGCGCGCAACAAAGCCGGGACGATAAAGGGCTCCCTGCACTCCCTCTCGACGTCCCGCAGCGCGCGCTCTGCATCCTCTCTCCTCGCCTGCTCCTCGAGCAGTCGCGCCTCGGACAGCTTACGCAACCGGATCTCCTCGCGGAGCGTCGCTTCGATAGCTACGCGAGTATGGTCAGAAGAATACCCGAATGCCCGAAATTGATACGACCCACCGGCGACGTCGTTGCGATTCAGGTCCTCTGCAGCCACCCTTACTTGTGGAAGTTTGGAAGCGCCCAACTTGGCAAGCTCCTCTACGAGCACCATCGAGCGGGCGTTGGCTGCGGTGGCCTGGCGCCTGGTATCCCACAATTCCCGCGTCAAGCGCGCAATTTCCGCTGCCTGCGACCGGCCCTCTACTGTGCGCGGTATAGCATTGGCTGCAGATGCGGCAGCTCGGGGTGCAGAAGGAACGGCGGCAGGAAGAGCTGCAGGCGGCTGACTCGGAGCAAGAGGTAGCACAGAAGTTGTGGCCTACAGTTAAGTGCCAGGTGAGCGGTTGTCCAATATTATGGAGTGTGCACAATGACCTGAGGTTCTGTCCCAGCGATAGTGGAACTCAGCCTGCGTAGAGCTGCCAATGACTTGTCCAAATTCTGTATATGTTCGTTTTGCTTGATGCGTATGGACCGCCGGAGGGGCTCTTCTTCATGACCAACGCGCCGGATGATCGTTGATGTGCCCGAAGGGGTCGGTTCTGCCGCATGAGGAAGACGCCTGTCGATTGTGACAATGCGCGGACGGGTGGGTGTTTCTTCATGACCAGCATTCCGGATGATCGTGTACGGACCGAAAGGGGCAGGAAAGGAGTTGACTGATGTAGGGGCTGGACGCGGGGGAGGAGAAGCGGATCTAGTACGAGGTGGAGGAACGGGGGCGGCCTCGCGACGATCGGGAATAGGGGAAGCTCTAGTACGGGGCCGACGATGAGTTGCTTTGGAACTAGCCCTACCAGATGGTGAATACGTCTTGAGAATATAACCGAAAAGACGCCCTCACACTACCGAAGCCTTAATCATAACACTGACCCATCGCACGCTCTCAGTGCCACTGGCGAGCAAGAAGCACGGGTCGACTTACATAGACTGCGCCGCTTTCTCTTCTTGGGTCAGATCCACGAGTCGTTTTTTTATTGACGCCAATACGCCAGCGCCTGTCGCCTGCCAACGAGAGCCAGTTTAATTCCATCACGGACGCAAGACTTAGAGACGGTCACGCACGGCCCTGCCATAATTCAAATCAGGCCAGAAACCCAGAACCATGTCCTCGCTCTCTTTATAACAGTTAACGACTTTCGGGTAGGGAAAACCCAACTCGGCAAGATCTTTCCTAACAACATGACTGGCCACTTCGTTCGAAGTCAACCGCGCCGCCTTCTGAGGGGTGTACTTGACACGAATAACCACGTCGACGAGAGACACCGGCATGGGGTGCTATGGGCAGTAAGCACAGCACAGGCGGGAAAGGAGAGCAGGTCAGCGCTACCAGCATTTCAGAACAAGTTGATGATCGTGTATGTAATTAGAGCGTTCTGGAGGAGCGGATAATGTGGCACTGGCACCGTGCTATGTCACAGTCACCTGACGCGAACGCGTCAATATCGGCCGTTGTGGCAGTCTTGCCTGCTGCCAAACTCACGCGTCTGCATTCATGTTACGCCCCCTATATAAAGCTTTGAGCTACACTGAGCCATTTAAATAGAGGTAATTCATTTCTCAAGACCTGAACATGGCGTGATGTGATTTGAAACGACTGAAAGTCAGGCCATCCCTCGGTATGTGCTAAACGCCATCGACGTAACGTAACAGTGCCCTATCAAGCCTCAATCTCAGTATGCTAGATGAAATATGTCACCTGAAGCGCAGAACATCTTCCCGTTCAGAGCCACCTGGGGCAAGGTCCTACCGTAGAAGCGATGGGCGTACCCGCATTGGATCGGACTGGATGATTATAGTGAGTGCAGAGCAGAAATTGTTTATGAATATGCTATGCAGAAGATGCAGACCCAGAAGTACATTGATGAAGCGCTACTCCGCGATTCGTATTCTTACATGTGCGATTAATACCCGACGCCGATAAGGTAATCAGCCAGCCCCTCCACCACAGTGGTCGCCTCTCCGGCCTGTATAGGAGCGGCGTACTCCGTGACAAGCACGGCCTGTTTGGTCTTCACGATGACACACCCGTCAGCCTGGCACGCAAGCGCGTAAGTTATCCTGAGCGTATCGGGACAGCGGACGCGCTCACCCCCTTCTTCCCGTAGATACTCCGATCGTTCACTTGTAGTGTGAAGAACTTCTGGCCAGCGAGACGGACTCCGCTAGCCTGAGTTGCCTCGGGGTTGGAGAATGCCTTGACTATCGCACTCTGCTCCTCTGGGGATAGCTGTACCGATGCGATTCGCCGATAAGTAAGAGGGTGTGCATGTGAGTACTGATCCAGCACCCTCCGAGTATTAGGAGCAGCGTACGTTGTATCCGGGTGACGCAGCCCAAACACCGCCGGCCTGGCCGAGGATAGCAGCTTTCGTGACCTTGCCGCTTCCGACGAGGTTCGTGTCGACATACGCTGTGCACGCTTATGAGTATCCTATTTGGACAGAGAGACCGAAGACAGAACTTACCTTGCCAGGACATCGTGAATCGTCACTTTAGTCGTGCAGGAAACAAGATAGATGAAGAAAGGTGGGCTGTGATGTCGAGAGAGGGGTCCTGCGCCCTAAAACAGATCCAGCCGGAGATCGCCATCAGATAAATCGCCGAACGGGACAAGTCGTACAGACCCTGCCCTAAGCCATTCACGTGACCACTCTTGCTCTCCTCCTCAGTGCCACAGGGATCCCACAGATCACCCTGTCCGTTGCCGAAACTATGCTTAGCACTACTGTTCTTTACCTTGGCTCTGGTGCGAGCTTTTTGAGTTGTAAGTTTCTCCAGGCAACTGTCGTTGCAAGCCCACCATGGTTCCGACCTTAGTTCCAGAATGATGCACTCTGGATCGGCTCCGATAAATACGCTCAGTCAGTCAGTGCTGATTATCCGCGAACGACCAGGGCCAACGCGGGCTACAGAGGTTTGGTTGCATGAAGGTTCTCGCCAAGTCAATAAAGTCCCGGGCTTACTGTGATGAGGGCAAGATTTGGTGTCCCTGCAGCGACGGTCTTGACGCGCCCTCACGTGCCCGAGCGGTCTTATGTCTGGATGATACCGGACCGCCGGACGCGTCTATATCTAGCGTGTGTATGTACGCCACAGCGTGGATATAACAACATGCAAGCGTGAGGGCGCAGTCCTCACGCCCGCCGTCTTACACTTCCTTGTACGCCGCACTTGCTAACAATGCCTTGGGATCTCGTCAAGCTGAACGATGGTAAGTAACTGACGGTGTACCGTTGCTGCGGCGCGTCGCTGATAACGGTATCGGGTTGCCAGGCCACACAATGCCGTCCATCGCATTTGGTACCTGGACCTTGGGTAACGGACAGGGCCCAATTGACCAGGTCGAGCAAGCTTTGTCCGTAGGTTTTGAGCACGTAGGTATGCAGGATGCAGTCGCTAGCGTCACGTCGAAGCGTCTAAGGCATGGGAGCGATGTAGATACTGCTCAGGCATACAGAAACGAGGCGGAAGCAGGCCAGGGTATCAAGGAGAGCGGCCTGTCCCGCTCGGACGTCTTCATTACCACGAAATACTCCGGTACTGGTGGGCTGGATGTCGAGACTTCCATTGACAACAGCTTGAAAAATGTAAGTCTGTATGCGTGGTATGTGGATAGATCCCTCGCTGAACACTATTGGTATAGCTCGGGGTATCATATGTCGACTTGTACCTGATCCACAGCCCCCGCCTTGCGACCCCGGATATTCCGACTATCTGGAGCAAGATGGAAAAGATCAAGGCGGACGGGAAGGCGAAGAGCATCGGCGTCAGCAACTTCCAGGTCCAGCACCTGGAGACACTTCTGAACTCTGCGAAGGTCAAGCCGGCCGCTAATCAGGTACGGGAACCTATTGTCAGTGCCCCCGGAATCCCGAGACCAAAGTCCGCCCGCAGATCTTGCTGCATCCTTATGTCTACAAGTCGCAAGCTCCTTTGCTTGAGTATTGTGCGAAGAATAACATCGTCGTCGAGGCTTACAGCGCCCTTATGTGGGTAGTCCCCGCTGTTCGATCACTGCTCTCTATCTGATGCGTGCGGTGTATGTAGTCCTCTGACGCACCAACCCGGCGGGCCTGTCGACAAGCCAGTCAACGCTATCGCATCCCGCCTCTCCGCGAAGCCTGAGCAAGTTCTCCTCGCGTGGGTGAAGGCTAAAGGCGCGGTCGCCGTGACGTAAGCGAATTCCGTGGAGTTCCTGTTACATTCAAGCCTATTATTCTCCACAGCACGAGCTCGCGGAAAGACCGTCTTCAAAGCTATCTGTCTGCTGCTGACCTTGGTACGCTATGTTTCTGATGTCCACGTTCCAATGCTGATATCTTTCCGTGCACAACCAGAGCTGACGAACGAGGATATCGAGTCCATTGACAAGGCAGGGGCGGTAGGTGCTCGTCTGTATACCGCACGGAAGGTATTCAGGGGCTTGGCTATTGCCGGCATTGTTGTAGCGGTCGTCCTGAGGGTATGCTCGGCTTATGGTGTCGAGGTGTTATGAGTGTCTCGTGGTAGGGCCCGGACGCCTGTCTCGGTGTATACGACTGATTCCTTCGACTGTTTTGTATTGAGACTTTCGATAGGTGTGGTTGATCGTTCAGGAGAATTTCTTACGCTTCGACGACGTCGACCTGATCGTTTGAATTTCTGATTACAGCACACTGCCGCTTGTCAACGGGTTCCATGCATAGCGTGCTTGCGTAGCACAAAGAACACACCTCAAGGACAAAGGGTCGCGTGACGCCACGCGTCTCCCCTCCCGTAATATAAATCACGTCGATCCTCTTTCTCTTGCTTGATATCTCTTCATCCCCCTCGAGAACTCTCGAATGCCGTTGCTCCCCATCGCTTCATGCTTCCACCACGACTGATCTCTGCCATGTCTCCGTCCTGAGACAAGGACCGACACGTGCCCCTCGATTCGTGCCCATAGTCAACCGCTGCTCGTCTCTTTCATCTCTCATGTGTCACCGGCTCCCAGGTACTGTGTTCCGGCTCAGGTAGTGTACCTTGGCTCTCTGGCCGGACTGCACAGTCCGGATGCCTGTGGAGGACAGAATCAGTTCGTGTCCGAGTACCGAGTATGTTGAGGCGATACGATAACTTTTCCGTGCGGCGAGATCGCTGCCGGAGCCACACGTTCCTCGCCATTCAGGGACTGTAATAGACTGTAATCGACAGAGAAGCCAACGGGAACTTCTCGCCGTCGGGGACAGTGGGTGCTTCCTCTTACACAGCACTTCGATGTTCTGGGGAGGACATCTCGCTCCGCTATCGCCTCACATATGTATCTGGAAAGTGCGATGGCTTGGCTTGGCTTGCACCTGTGTGGCGATCAATATTCCGGAAAAACTTGGCCCATCGGATAGCGATGTTACTGGGAGCTGTCGACAGCTCTGTCGACTCCCTTTATCCAGTGATAGCGTCCGATGCTCAAAATTCAAGGCATGGCTCTTCATTCCGGGGTACGTCGCTCGCTTGTTCCCTACCATCGCTCACCGTCTTGTGGTTCTCGACACCAGCGCCCCACCATGGGCATCCAGGCTACAAACGCAGGCGCTGGCACTGCGCGCTTCATGTATAAAATTCTGCATGCCAGTGGAACCGTCGCATTTCTGTTACGTGCACTGCCCTCTCTCTTCGCGCCCTCAGCTCGATCCTACGTCCTGGGGCTATATCGTGTGCGAAGAGCATTTGTGCGTTTTGGTGGGGCGGCATACAGGTCTGTACAGCCCGCGGGCTGCGGGGGCCTGTTGGTCTCCTCGGATTCTTAAAGCCTATACCTGTAAGAGTCGAGCTCCGTCCGAACATTGACGTCTGACGAGATGGGAGGATACGTTGGTTGTCCGTTCGAGGCTTAGAATTCGCCATCCATTAGGAGCATACTTGATTATGATACACCACCCATTCCCCTTACTCACATTCACCATGCCCCACCCCACCCCTACCTACGCGCCCCACTCCGGTACTTCCTCCCCCAGCTCCCTCATCACGCCCTCCATCACCTCGTCTGTACTTCCCCCGATCCTGAGCGCCGCGACGACGTCCAGGGGCGTGCGCTGCATGTTGACGATTACCAGCGGCCTGCGCGCGCGCGCGAGCGAGCGGGGGAGGGTGGTGAAGGGGGCGACACGGAGGGAGGAGCCTTCAAGGGGGTCTGGTCAGCGCTTGCCGAAGGGAAGGGGAGGAAGGCAAGGGAAGGGAAGAGGGGAGGGAGGAATGGGAAAATGGGGAGAGAAGGGAAGACACACCTAGGACGATACCCAAATCCGCCTGAGCGGTGAACCGCGAGGCCTTGGCGAGCTCGGCGGCTGGGAGGGCGTCGCCGAAGGCTACGACGCTGGATCTGAGCCGACCGCCGCACGCCGTGCAGCTTCTCTCTGTCTGCTCTAGTTAGCTTCTCTCCCTAGACACAGGTAAGGGCGAGGTAGGCGTACCTCAAGATTTGATGGACCCGGTGGATCCAGAGCGCAGGATAAAAGCTCGATGAGTCTCGCAGCGTCTATTCCGGTGTTCTGGTACCTCTTCTCACATCCTGTACAAACATCAACACCCACACTCCCATGCACCTCCGCGAGCCTCGCACTCGGGATCCCGGAGCGGCCGTGCAGCCCGTCTATATTCTGCACACACCTATCTATCAGCCACATCCCCCTCGCGGTGAGATAGTACTGTACCTGGGATACAACGCAGCTGAGCTTGCCGAGCTTTATGAGGCGCGCGATGGCCATGTGCGATAGCGTTGGGGTGGGGGATACGTGGAGGAGTGGGAGGGGTGATTTTACGCCTTGGGATTGGAGGGTCCAGAGGCCTTGGGGGCCGCGGAAGTCCGGGATGCCTGCGCTACGTTTCAGTGAGGATCACGAGTTGGCAGGAAAGCCAATAGAGTACTAGGAAAAGGTAGATGAGAGGATAGGCAACGCACCTGGTGGATATACCCGCGCCGGTGAACACGACCGCGCTGTGGCTCTGCTTTACGAGCCGCGCGAGGGTCTTGATCTTGGCTTGGAGGACGTCCGGCGGGTCGGGGTGTTCGTCCTGGCTTGTGGTGCCACATTTATTGGATATCATTCTTGTTGGTTGGGTTGCTGGAGAGGAAATGTGGTTCGTGCCACACGTCCAGATCGGGGAGAGAAACACGCGCTCGCGAGGGGGCGCGTGACGTCACGCTTAGTAGCGCGCGTCCGGGACGGGCGGGCCGGGCACGTATCGTGTACAGCACACTACGCAGCAGTATGAAAACATCGACTGAGGAGTACGCCTCGCAGGCGGCTTTACAAGATACGCCCGTGCGTAGCCTTGTATGCACCCGACCATCCGCAGTGGTATCCACCCGACACTCCCAGATCAGCTCCAGTCATCTCCCAGCTTGAAGCTAGCAAGGACACAACCACACATGGCCAGCGCCGTCCCCGACCGAGGAGTGGAAGAGGCGCATACCCGCGGGCAGGGCGGGGATCTTGAACGAGGGACTTGTGTCATTGGCGCTGTTTCGGACATGCGTGTAGTACTAGTGATGAACATTCGTCTGTATTATTGTCTGTGTCATATTCCATAGCTGGTACAGACTGCAGCCCGTGTATATTCTGTGTACACCCAGGCTCGTGGTGAGATGCAAGACGACGTTCCCACCACCTTCAGCACAACCATCCATGGTAAACAACTTGAACGTCCCGGCCGACAGCGCAGAACACCGCGATCCGCCCGCGCTCATCCAGTCCAAGATCCAGGCGCTGGCGCTGCTCATCCGCGGGGCGCAGCGCGTCGTCGTGTACACCGGCGCGGGCATATCCACCTCGTACCTTCGCTCTCCTTCTTCCCTCCTTCTCGTTGCTGAGTACACGGAGCAGTGCAGGCATCCCCGACTTCTGCGGCCCGCAGGGCGTGTGGACGCGCCAGGAGGAGGGCATCGACGCGCGTGTGGCGATCCCCGACACGACTAGCCCGACGCCGGCACACATGGCGCTCGTTCGCTTGGTCGAGCTCGGCAAGGTCTCTCTTGTCGTCTCCCAGGTACGCCACGTCCTTCCTCCAGCGAGAGCCAAGCGTCACAGGGTCCCCGTTGTGCAGAACATGGACGGCCTGCACCTCCGCTCGGGCATCCCGCCCGCGCGCCTCGCGGAGCTGCACGGGAACAGGAACGTCGAGGTGTGCACGCTGTGCGGGATGGGGTATTTTCGTCGGTTCAGTTGTCGTTCCGAGGCAAAGGATCATCAGGTGCGCTCCCCCTCCCCGCCTTCCTTTCCTTCGCCCAGCACCCCTCCCGGCGCGCAGACTGATGAGCAGGCACAGACAGGCAGGAGGTGCGACGTGTGCGCGGGCCCGCTGCGCGACAGCATCGTCCAATTCGGGGAATCCCTCCCGCACGACGCGTGGGCGCGCAGCGTGGAGGAGAGCAAGCGCGCGGACTTGGGGATTGTACTAGGTGCGTTCTCGTCTCGTTCCGTTCCGTCCTTCCCCTCCCTCCCCCCTTCCCCGCGCCGCGACATCAGCTCACATGCCCCAGGCTCCTCGCTGCTCGTCTCCCCCGCAAGCGACGTCCCCCTCGCCCTCGTACGCGCCGGCACGCCGCTCGCGATCGTCAACCTGCAGCGCACGCCCCTCGACGCCAGCGCCGCGCTCCGCCTCGGCGCGCCGACCGACGCGGTCATGGCCGGCGTGCTGCGCGCGCTGGGGGAAGACGTGCCCGCGCCGCGCGATGTCAGCGCGGAGCTGGAGGAGCGGACGCGCCGGGCGGTGGGCCTGGCGGCGGCGCGGGCGGACGCACCCCACGACCCGGCCAAGTGTGCCTCCACGCGTCCCGGTCCCTGCACAGCGGCTGACTCGGACGGGCCCGATTTGTTCCTCGCGCGCCGCTGGCGCGGGCCTGCGCCGGTCGTGGCGCCGGGCGGAGGGGAGGAGTGGGCCGTCGAGAAGATCGTCGATGCGCGGCGCCGCGGCCGCGGATGGCAGTACCGTGTGCGCTGGGCCGGCTACGATGAGGACGACGACAGCTGGCTGCCGCGACGCGACCTCGAAGATACGAAGGCGTTGGACGACTGGCTCGCGGTGCATCCGCACTAACTCGGACTCGACTCGAGACCGCCCCCCCCCCCCCCCGGCCATGCTCGATTTACATATCTGTCGGCGGAGGAGTGATTGCATATGACCATGCGCCACCCGTCCGACACGATTTTTGTTCTTGTTACTCTTAGGCACTTCATTCTGACACCGGCACTCGCGCGTGCTTATAACTTAGCCGATGAGCTTCGAACGTGTCCCCCTCTGCAATACAGCGAAGCCCTGCGCTGGCCTTTGAGTGTTGTCCGGCTTGTACTTTTTGCCGGAGGAGGGGGACAGGACATGAGGGGTTGCTGGGGCGTGTGCTAATAACTTTACAGAATGTCACAGAACATAAGCGTGTCTGTATAACTGTTACCAGACAACCCGAATCTGCACGTCCACATGTACAGTATGCGGCTCCCATTGGGAGTAAGTACAGTGAACGCGTGACGTCACGCGCTTATTGCCGATGCTACGAGTAAACAGATGCACCATGACTAGTGACTACTAGTACCGACCAAGCACCCGTGCCAGACATCTAGCACAAACACACATGGCCAGCACCGACGAATAGGTCATACCAAGGGTTGGCCGGAAAAGGCGCCGCCGGAGGCGGCGCCAGGGTTTTTAGCGAGGGCTTCGCCCGAGGCGCCCAGGGTTTTCCGGCCATCGAACACCGGCGCAGAGGCTTCTCTCCGTTATCTCACCGGGACTGTTCGGTTCGCTCAGCCCTCGAGCAATAGGAAGACCTGCTGCAGCCTGCAGGCTTTATCACTGGTTCCTCTCCTCAAGTCCTACGGCGCTCTTCTGTCTTCGCGTGTTTTCGTTCACGCTGAGGTGGTCAGCTGCATGCATTAGCGATTCGTCGCCCAGGTCGGGTGTAGAGGCTGCAGAGTGGGTTCCCTGAAGTTGGTACTGGGGAGGCGCAACGCCCGGTTCCGGTGCGAGTTGATTTGTCAGCAGATTGTGGCTGAAAGGTGGTCGCAAGTATCCCCTCGTATTCTTGTGCATTCCTCTGCTCCATTCTCACCTTATGCATGCATCAGCAATGTATATCACTATTGTAAACCAGAAAGAAGGGTATTCTACCATTACAGACTGTAGTAGATATAAACATGTCTGTCTCTTCTTATTCCTGAGCTGACCACCATCGGGATGAAATGATGGTCAATTTCACCGAGGTCGGCAAAGGAGTGCTTAGGGAAGTTATGTATTGTCCTTAGAAACATTTGGAACATATCTATGTGCACACCAGTGGGTGCATTCCCTATCCTTGATACAGATGAGCTTGATTTCCAGGAAGCACAAATCTGTGTAATTAATGGACAAAGCAAGTACTGGATCACAGCTGTAAAAGGCTGAATATATATCTCATGTACTATGTTGATTTTACAATTCTAACATAGGGGAAGGGACCTGCTTCTGCTGCGGCAGGAGAGCCCGGACAGTGACCAGGATATTTGGTGTGACACTTTTTGCGATGGTGTCACAGCTTGTCACGTCCGCGACGCGTTCGGACGCGTCGTTAATTGCTCTTTAC